CCCCCGCAAGATGCAAAAGGTCTGAGCGAAATTTTCAAATATCGTATTGTTCGGTAATTCTCCTGAAAAAGCCAAGAACCTTGAAATAAGGCTGGATCGTCACTTGCCAAGAAACGTGAATAATTTCGCCAAGAACTAAACGAATCCAATTATGAAGATTGACAGTTCCATTTTAGGCTTTCCAGACTTGGCAAAGATACGAAATCCCCACCTTTTTCTCGATTGATCCTACCAATCCCAGCCACAGCTAGTCCCCCGTGCACTCATCCATGGCTTCATTTTTTTTCCGCATACGAAATGTGGGACATGGTCCCCTGTAACGGAAAATTATTCCATTTCAAGTTTGAGACAATATCCGCCGTGATCTCCGCTTCGCTTTCTACATATATCGAGTGAACTCCGCTCGCGGGCCGGGGACTTCCGATAGCGAACAGTACGATGTACGATGTTCAGGCCTGCCGATCTAACTCCGTGTCTACCCCGAAAATGACACGTTTGTCACGGCTTCCAGGTACCCTGGTCCTGGACCGAAGTGGTAGGATTGTCGATCCTCGTTGTCCGGCGGAAAGAACCGCTTTCAGAATTGGTTGACGGATGATCATCTCGTCTTAGGGAAGTGGATGGCTGCACATGTTTTATACGGTAGAGGTGGACTGGTCGACTGAACACCCAAAGATAAAGACCCGTCGGACCAGAACCAAAAACCCGTCGGGCTCCAGAGTGATATTCATCGGCTGAACAGTTGAAGAAATTGACGTTTCCGTATCTATCTAAACCTGTTTCAAATAAGAAGGTCCGACGAGCATGCCATTTCGGTGGAGTATGATATCAGTTCTATTCGGAGTCCGTGGGGGCACCGCCAAGCTTCAACGTTTCAGGTTTCATATTTTCGCGTTGCATTTGACGCTGGGGTACTCCGTTGAAACTATCCTAGTACTCTTTACTCGTGGACCCATGGACGAAGGGCTGAGTTACTAAGCTTGTTGGTCTATCCATATCGTGCATAACTTATGCCGTAGTCACGTACAACTAGAGTTAAGTATTATCTGGCCTCACATGATTTGTTCTCTAGAACTTCGGTAATGGACAGCTACTCCTAGTCCGTAAAGATCTGTATGTTTGTGACATTATATGTTTGAATGATGCAAAATCTACAGTGTGTGAGATTCTGTCGCTTGGGTTATGGATCGCGGAATAACTACGTTCTATTCTCACTCTACGAATGAGTTGCGGATAATTCCTCACTTGGAAGTGTGTTTCTCGTTCTCTGATCTAGGGCATGTCGATATCATCCAATTGTAAACCTTTCCTCACATTGCATCGGTATGTCGATCATCGTCACTTGTGGCAAGGCCCTACTACTGTTGGATGCTGGTAGCGCATTTCCTCTTCCACAAGGCACGACCAGCAGGCACAGTACTACATCCAGTAGGCTCGGTGATGCTCAAGTTGAGGTTGCTGCGAGGCATCGAAGTCATACAGACTAATGATGAGGGCTGGATGGTAGGATAGTCTGCTCCGAAGGAGGATCATTCATCACAGCGTTCGTACCACGCTTTTTCTTATCCTTGCCCCAGCGGGCAACTGGGTAGGGGTTCTTAGGGTCAAGGGCCTGTTATATCAAACGATTGGTATTAGTATGTCCACCCGTTGTGAAAGTATACGGTAGAGTGCTCACCGAGCTTTGAGCCGCTTGTAAGGCTGCGGCAAAGTTGGTGAGGTCTTCATAGAGATAGTGACAATCAACGACCGAGTGGCCGTCTATTTCGCAGTGCTTGCACCAGACCTATGATAAGTCAGTCTGTATCCGTGTAACCTTGAGGTGTTGTAGTTGAGAGATGTGATGCAGGTAAGGAGTATGGCATCGCACGAAACGATGTCTGCTCACACAAAACATCACATCGACGAGAAGTTCTTAAGAGGCTACAACATGGAGTGTGCCGATTGTGGGGGGTTCTTCTTGGCGGCAGACTTGGCTAATAATAACAGTTAGTTGGTGTGTCCTCAAAATACTGGTTGGAGCAACAGGCATGGAGGGAGTTCCTCTATCCTGACTTGGGTGGCTGAATCTAACAGGACATACCCTTCTTATTGGCCTTGTTGCCCTTGGTGCCCCGGCGGGCTCATTTCTTGGACTGTACCAATGATGCCCCGAATCAATAAAGTGCCTTTGAAGGATATCAAGAATGTCAGGTATCATCTTACCGGGGCAGGGGCAGTGGCAGCGCGCACGGCCATGCCGATACGCCTCAACCAATTTCAGTTCACCTCCGAGTGGCCACGATGGTGGCACTGGGTGCAGAAAAGCTACATCATCCGTTAGTATATGTTCGCACGATATATCGATACGTGCTAGGTTTTGGAGTATCATAGGCCTGGAAAGCCTATCGCATTTGGAAGATCGAGAGAGGAAGGCATCGCAGCCATCCTTTTGCACTTACTGGGGGATCAGATGGAGGCCTTGCATCAGCCATAATGGTAGAGGAATAGAACCTGTAACAGGATCGGACCATGCCAACGTGATGCAAAGATCCTATGCCCAGGAACGAAAAAGGGACGAGACGGTTTAGGCCAGTTGGTTGTATGATCGAGAAGGCACCATAATGGTGGGAAGATGTGGAATTTACACAGCGATCAAGATCAGCAAGATATTCACTTACATGAACGTGGTTAGGCTGAGCCATAATGTATGATCGGTGATAGAGAGATGTGATGGAGAGATGAAAGTTGAATAGTTGAAAGGATTGAGAGATATGGAAGAAGGGAAGAAGAAGAAGAGAGAAGGCGATCATTTATGAAGGGAGAAAAAGATAGAGGGGGGTGAGAGCAAAAGAGGATTGGAGAGCCTATTGACTTGAGATTCTTCTCTTTTCTCATTCACTGCTCTCTCACTTGTGAATCATAAGTATCTAATCTGCGAGCTACATCTTCAAAGTCACTTATATCATTCTGCTCTTAAATGGATGATCGATACAGGGTGATTCCTAATGTTAAGTGTTTCTGATTTTATTGCTAGAGTCCTAATAGCTCGAGGATATACCTTCTTAATGATAAGATAATCCTTTGTCTTATGCCACCGTTGTCAATCCTTGTAATTGGTATCTAATTGAATGCAGCGCTTTTAAGGCTCTACTCTGCTTGTCGGAATAGGGTAGCCCAGAATGCGCGGCACCAAAGCCAGTAACTACGATGCTGCTCGAGGTAGACGGCGAGCACCTGGGTTTCAGCTGGATTGAGCTCAGCGTTATCGAAGGCTTCCACCATATAAGTTAACCCTCTGCGTATCGTATGAACCCCAAATAGTGTATTAAACATACTGTTGTTTTGGGCCCTCTTTGCCTTTCCCCATGGTAAAACACGGTAGGCAGCCTGAGTAGTGGGTGCCTAATATATCAAAAAACGTATATTAGTAGATTGTTCAGTCATCGAATGCATGGTAGGTAGGAGTCTCACCGAACCCTGGGTCCGGTACCCAGTGTCAATGCCATTTTCTGCACCGAAGGTAGTTAAGTCATCAAAAAGACGATGACATTGGACAACGTCATGTCCATTAATCTCGCAATGTCTGCAGTACAACTATGATATGTTAGTTCATATTTATATATCCTTGGTATTTCTGGTGTTGTGTTGGGAGATGATGATGGCTTGATAAGGAGTTGGGGGTTAGAAATTTATATCCCGTACAAAGATAATTCTTAAGCACAATCCGTTCTTTAGAGATAGGGTAGGGTCTTGGCCAGAGAAAGATTTATGACGCGGGAGAGCATGATCCAACAATTCTCGGGGGGTGGGGGGCATGGTAATCGAGAAATTGCTATGATGGTGGGAATGTGCGTATTGGGACTTGGAGGGTACGAGGTATCATGACCCATCTTTGATTGGGATGTAGCGACCAACGAGATGGTTTCACTTACAAGGGGATGGATGGGATCAGCCATGGTTGATGGTGGTAAATGATGAGATTTGAGTAGTCAAAGGATAAAAATGATAAATGATGACTCTGTAGGAGATGATGTGAGGATAAAATGATGAATAGAGTAAATGGAAGAGAGGGATGGATGGAAGGTGGGAGTTGAAGGAGGTGAGAGTAAAACAAGGCCCTCTTGTCAAAAATTGGGTTGGTCTATTTCTATCCAATTTCAATTACTACTCCCTCACTTCATATTAATCTTCATATTTTCATGGACTTCACGTATCCCTCTCTTTGGAACCTGCCAGTATGATTCGTTTCCAGCAACCCTATTGCTCGCCTTCATTCACTACCTATCTTTAGAGCTGCGTCTACCAGGGACCTTTATACTAGCTTGCCATGGCGATGGATCTACTAAGAGTAACTTCTAATGCAAGTTCATATGTCATCAAGCATATAAGATTGAAATTAAAAAGACTGGCGTTTTCACTAATTAAATGCTCAATTTCCCACCCAATATGAGTCTCATAGCAATCCATATAATGACTGCGTTTAACGGGCTCATTCTTGGGCTACCATGTTGGCTCACTGAATGATGTGACGATATCATTTAAAGAGCGAGGTCATGAACTCCCCAGAACGCCTACTTTGCATGGTCTTATTCGATTGATTTTACGAAAAATGGTAGCTTCGTTGTCCGTCTCTGCTACTCGAGTAAAAAAAAAGATCGACTCTCACAGAAACGGGCATTGGAGTGGAATATTAGCAATATGCCTGGGTCTCTACTGTGCGAGACCCGTCTGATGTTTATTAGAGGATCTGCTCCATGCAATTGCGAGACATGCGGCCACTACGGAAATATGGTATACCCATTTAGGGGAGGCTTTCCATTGAAGGAAATAAGCCGAGTAGAACAGAGAATGAGACCTCCCTCTAAGATAAACACTATTGATAGTCAATGGAGGTCAAAGATATATCGACCATACAATGAAATTATAATTATCTATACTAAGAGAGTCATTCCGAGTGAACTTTTGTTTCGCTGTGTAAATGCAGATATCGCTAGGTTGCCAAAGTCATGGGCGAAATTTCACGACCGTAATATTCGATTATAAAGTGAACTGGGGCTCAAATCGGTCTCGACTAAGATAATAACAGTAAGAACCAAGGTTGCCACAATGACCTGAGCGCAGGGAGTTAGTTAGGATTCAGAGGCCAACCATCGTCTGGAGTAGAACTTACAGCAAACAGTAGAATTCCCACCGAGTTTAACTCCCATCCTCCAGCATACACTTTCCCGCGGGCAATAGCATTTTGTTGTCGCCAGAATCGGAACGCACCTATTAAGGCGACAACAATAGCCACAGCATGACAGGCAACCGAGAGCGGGATAGCGACTTCGTAAAACGACAGATGATCGAATTTTGTCAACGACTGTTGTAGACGGAAAAGTTGCGCAACGAGCACCCCTTGCATGGCGATAACGGTGGACGTGCGGATATACGCAAGGAACGTTCTTTCCAAAGCTTTGATTGCGTCAATTACATTGCTAACAACGTGGCCACAGTATAACGTACCAAAATAATCCCGATTGCTCTTCTGCGGCACGGTCAGAATAACATTTCGACCCCAGAACCGACAAATCCGGCCCCAAAGGCCCTTGCGGGGTGCGCGTGAGCGCCGGGAATCGGCTCGAGACGGAGTGCGACGTGTGGGCATGTGTTGCTCATCGCCAGACGAAGCCGACGCGGTCGAATAATCTAGCTCATTGTCTTCTTGGGTTTGGATCGAATGGAGCTCCAATGCCTCTCGGTCGTCATTGTGGGTGCGAGCGGATGTCGGGCGGGAGTCGGTCACGATTGCATTGGGAGGGTCCTCGGGGACAGGGGGTTTGCCAGGCTTGGTCATGATGAATGATGGAAGCACAATGCAAATGCTCGCATGGCTGTTTCGAAGTTGTGAAGTTTGAAAAGTCCAAAAGACAGGGATTCTTTCTTGTTACGTTCCCCACGGCTCGGCTCTAGCCGAACATGAATTTGGCCCCGCATAGAGTCTGGGGTTTACATCTTTACATGTCAATGTCATATAAAAGTTTATAGAATAAGCAATTGATACTATAGATCTATATAGATCTTAGATCTGAGACTATATATACCTTATTTTCTTACTCAACGCCTCCATTGAAAATACCCCTGCAGCCGTTCTCACATTGACCAATCAGAGGCCGTAAAAGAGCGATTGCACCATTTTCGTTCATGATGTTGAAATGTGCTGCCAATGGCAATGCTTTACCAAACGTTGTTTCGTTCGATCATCTAACATATTAACTACAAGTAGCTAGCTCAAATCTAAACATGCAGATGTGGGAAACCCCTGAAGCTCAGATATTGTTGCTCAATTCCAACCTGTTTTGACATGCTCCATACTCAATGTGTCATTTAAGAATGAGGACCGCAATAATGACAAGCTCAAATATACTCATAAGACTGTGACTGTACACGAGTTAATCAGTATATACTTATCATTGAAGCCTGTTCCCAGGTCTTGCTATGATGTTTTTGAATCAGCCATTTACTCATCATATTTTATAGCGATGTTAGCACACCAACTGTGAGCATTGAGATAAATTCCCCTAGTAGCTGTTGATTCAATTATGGGAATGTATTTATATCTGGCTGTTCATTCGAACTTTGTTCAAAGCAGTTACGGATGTTTCTGATTTTCCGCTCCGGTATCTCCTCTTAAAACATGTATCACTTCCAAGCAAGGACAACCTCACGCACTGTCTATAGCTTTGTTGACTGGGTTACTACACGTATAAAATGTGGATAATACTATGAATCCAATTCCGACTTTTCTGGCAAAACTATGATACTTTTTATACTAAAATTAGAACCCATGGCCCAAAAAGGAAATGTAATCCCTTTGTCATAAAGCAAGTAAGTGCCAGGTTAAGCTGGTTATGATCTGAGGTTATCTATTATCTATACGTGGAGCCAAGAATATACTCCGATCCCTCCGAAATGGCGCCCGTGTTACTGCCAGTCTCGGCTTTACATTCCCGGAACCCGTGCGGGGTGTAATATCTTTATCTTTAGCTTCACGATACACTATACAATTATCCCACGCCTCTGCGGGGTGCGGGGGGGAAGTGTACGAGAATGTCACACATTGTACGAATCATCAAGTATGCGAATATACAAATAGAACGAATGCCTGCCTCTCTCTAGCGGGCGTATCATATTAACTATCACATAATAATGTCCCTTACACAACGCGTTGTCATCATTGGAGCTGGTATCGTGGGTACCAACCTCGCCGACGAGCTGGTCTCCCGAGGATGGAATAATATCACTGTTGTCGAGCAGGGTCCGTTACATATGCCGGGCGGATCGACGTCACACGCCCCCGGACTTGTATTTCAGACAAGTCCCTCCAAGACAATGACACATTTCGCACGATACACAGTCGAGAAGTTCCTATCGATTGAGAAGGACGGGCACAAATGCTTCAACCAAGTCGGCGGCCTCGAAGTTGCAACCACCCCCGCACGACTGCAAGATCTAAAGCGGAAACATGGATACGCATCGTCATGGGGGATCGAGGCCCGGCTAGTGAGCGCCGAGGAGTGCTTCAAGATGTATCCTCATCTGAACAACGATATGGTGCTGGGAGGTCTTCATATCCCCAGTGATGGCCTTGCACTAGCAGCGCGAGCTACACAGCTGCTCATTGAACGGACAAGCAGGGCCGGTGTTCGTTATCTGGGCCATACTCCTGTAACTGGGATTGAGCGGGACGGGCGCCGTGTCACTGGAGTCACTACTCCAAGTGGCACCGTCCCGGCGGATATTGTTGTCTCTTGCGCTGGGTTCTGGGGTGTTGAATTGGGTGCAATGGTCGATGTGGAAATTCCATTGCTTCCGCTGGCGCATCAGTATGCAAAGACCACGGCAGTGCCCGCTCTCGCTGGCCGAGATATCAACAGCTTACCAAATGGATTGAATGCCACCCTCCCAATTCTCCGACATCAAGACAAGGGTCTTTACTACCGTGAACATGGTGGACAGTATGGTATTGGATACTACGGACACCGTCCAATGCCCGTCGTTGCATCATCACTAGGACTCACACCCAAAGATGTTGATGAACAAAATATGCCCTCTCGCCTCAATTTCACAACCGAAGACTTCGACCCAGCTTGGAAAGAGTCCCAAAATCTGCTCCCTGCCCTTCAGGATACGGAGATCGCAGATGGCTTCAATGGCATCTTTTCCTTCACACCCGACGGCGGTCCAATCCTCGGCCAACCCTCCCACCTCGACGGCTTCTACGTAGCCGAGGCTGTATGGGTTACACACTCAGCAGGCGTTGCCCGAGCTCTAGCACAGATTCTCACAACCGGCCGATCAGAGATCGACGTGTCTGAATGCGAGCTATCTCGTTTTGAAGAAGTCCAACTCAGTCGAGACTATGTGACCGAGACCGGGAAGCAGAATTTCGTCGAAATATATGACATTATCCATCCGCTTCAGCAGCGGGTATCGCCCCGCAATTTGCGTGTTAGTCCATTTTACTCCCGCCAGCTGGAGCTGGGGGCTTTCTTCTTGGAGACTGGGGGCTGGGAGCGACCGTGGTGGTATGAGGCAAACAAAGATCTCGTAAAGTCTCTTCCACCATCATGGCAGCCTGTTGATCGGGATCCCTGGTCAGCCCAGCTTCATTCGCCTATCACTGCTGCCGAGGCTTGGAAGACGCGGAATGCGGTTGCTATTTTTGATATGACTGCTTTCCATCGGTTTGAAGTGTGCGGTCCTGGAGCAATCGATCTGCTCCAACGGCTGACTACAAGTGATATCACCACCAAGCCAGGGACCGTTACTTATACTCTCTTCTTGAATGATCACGGTGGTATTCGGGGTGACATCTTTGTACTACGACTCGACGATGATGTGTTCCAAATCGGAGCGAACACTGCAACAGATCTGGCATATCTTACCAGAGAAGCTCGAGTCCAGGAGCGGAGCACCCCCGGGAAATGGATTCAAGTCCGCGATATCACAGGGAGTACATGTTGCATCGGGCTCTGGGGCCCTCGGGCCCGGGATGTCATCGCTGGAATTAGCACAGTCGACATTTTTAACAAGGGACTTCCCTATTTCAGTCTCAAGAAAACAGTTCTGGCGGGTATCCCAGTTACAATGATCCGAAAGTCCTACGTCGGCGAACTAGGTTGGGAAATCCAAACCAGCGCCGAGTATGGCCAACGTCTATGGGACACGATCTGGCATGCTGGAAAGCTGCACGGACTTATTGCTGGAGGCCGCAGTGCGTTCAACTCAATGCGCCTTGAGAAGGGATACCGGACCTACGGCGTGGATATGACGACAGAGCACAATCCGTTCGAAGCTGGCGTTGCCTATGCTGTGGATGCAAATAAGAAAGATGACTTCGTCGGCAAAGCCGCCCTTCGACGTCTTTCTAGCCAAGTACCTTCGCGACGACTACGAGCTTTGACCGTTGATGATGGTCGGTCGATGATTCTTGGCAAAGAGCCCGTGTTTTACAATGGAAAAGCGGCCGGCTATGTAACCACCGCTGCATTTGGGTACACTATTCGCCAACCAATTGCTTATGCCTGGCTTCCTGGGAATGTGAGTGAAGGTGAGACAGTGGAGATCGAGTATTTCGGGAAGCGCATCAAGGCGACTGTCCAGGTAGAGTCGCTTTATGATCCCGAGATGAACCGTCTCAACCAGGATAGCTTGTCTTCAGCGACTGGGCCACGAGCTTCCTTCAGGTCACGACTTTGATAGAAATACATGCCCCCCAAAACATATGGGTACTAAGGTTGCTTCAGTCTCCAGATAATATAACGAAACAGACGGGTATCGTAGGAAAATACACAAATAGTACATGTTGAAGGGGAAAGTAGGTTTTCTCTCAGGCAATACGCCGGACTTGGGGTGGTATTTTTAGTATGAGACTTGTATCGGTGTATGCGGGCCCGAGGGCCCCGGAACTGAACACGGGCTGAAAAAGGTTGCGCTCAGTGCGGAGTACCTCGTATAGAGGACTTTTTCGACCCAGCTAATGATCAATTGTCTTTTCCCTTATTACCTTTCGCTAATATGTAGTTCTGAGAACATCGAAGGTTCTGCCCTCAAGTACAGACACTTGGTCATTACACCGGAACAGGATGAGAAAATGGAAAAACACAGCTATGGGCAAGTCTAGAGCAGGATCCAAGTCAAATAATAACTCCGAGCCGTGGCTAGATGTGAGTGGGGGCTCTTCTAAGCTGTGCGAGTGGCTGTTTTCTTAGACAAACGCCTCTAGCGCGCCTCGGCGCTCTGGTTGGGCCCATCAGCCCATCAGATAAGATTAAGTGAGCGGTTTTATCTCAAACTTTTTTCATCTGCTTGGCAATCAGATTTTCTTTTCCTTTTCTTTCGTGTTCTTCTCAACCGTGATCTGAGATTTCATTCTACATAATCATCATGTCGCTCGTTAAGGAGATCAACGTTGATCCCAATGGCGGAGATTCGAAGAACCCCCACAACGAAGCTGGCCCACTGGACGAGCCTGTGAATCTGCTAGGTCAAGGCAGTCCGGGTGTTCGTCGTATCGAAATTATTACATCGCATTTCCGATTGATCGATCGGGTCTGTCTGTTTTTCGCTATCTTTCTGATCGCCTATGTATACGGCTTGGATGGCACTGTTCGTTATACATATCAGGTACGTATCTCCCGCAGTTCTGACGTCAAGACGTGCTGATGAGAGAGTATACTAACATATCATGTTTCGATAGCCGTATGCTACCCAGAGCTATGGTAAGCACAGTCTTCTTGCAACTATCAATGTTCTCCGAGCCGTCATCGCTGCTGCTGCACAGGTATGGATACCCCAGACACCAATAATTTAGTACAGCGGCTAACTTTCCCTTAACAGCCTACTGCGGCAAAGGTTGCAGACGTATTCGGCAGAGTGGAGCTCATTCTCGTCTCGATCCTCTTTTATACCGTGGGCACTATTGTGGAAGCAACCGCAAAGAGTATGGAAGGTTTCGCTGCGGGGGCTGTTATCTATCAGGTGCGATATGCACCCAGGGACTCTTGTTCTGCATCTAATACTGTCTAGATCGGATACACCAGTATTATGCTTCTGGTTGAAGTCCTAGTCGCCGATGTTACTTCTAGCCGATCTCGTCTCCTTTTCTCATATGTTCCGGCCTTGCCATTTATCGTGAGTGTTGCATATACTTTCACCCAGTTGCAACATATTAACATGCTCGAACTATCTAGATAAACACTTGGATTAGCGGTAACTTGACTACTGCCGTCCTCAAAGTCACCACATGGCAATGGGGAATCGGCATGTTTGCTATCATCTATCCCGCATGTGCTCTCCCTCTTATTGCAGTCCTTTTCGTCGTTCAGCGACGCGCGAAGAAGTCTGGGTCACTGGAATCTTACAAGAGCTCTCTTCAGATCATGGGAAAAAGTCAACTAGCTATAGAACTATTCTGGCATCTGGACATCGTCGGCAACATTCTGCTAATTGCCATGCTGGCGTGTATTCTTGTTCCGTTCACTCTCGCTGGAGGTGTCACTCAGCAGTGGAAGACAGCAAAGGTTATTGCGCCACTTGTCATTGGCGTTTTGCTGATCCCGGTCTGGATTTTCTGGGAGAAAACCTGTAAACACCCGATGCTGCCATTCAATGTAAGTCAAATCATTGAAGCGGTATTCATGATTTTTACTGACTCTTTCGACTCTAGCTTCTCAAGGACCGTGCTGTCTGGGGTGCCCTTGGAATCCCTGTCATGCTCAACACCGGTAAGCCTTTCAGAGTACCATCCACGCTCAAGTGTTAACATTTCTTTTAGCGTGGTATCTGCAAGGTGATTTCTTATACACCGTGCTATACGTTAGCTTCGACGAATCAGTTCTCAGTGCGACTCGGATCACATCTCTCTACAGTTTTGTTTCGGTTATCACCGGTGTTATTCTGGGCCTCATCGTCATGAAGGTGCGCCAATTGAAGCCCTTCATCGTCGCCGGAACCCTCCTCTTCATGGTTGCGTTCGGAATCCTCATCTATTTCCGAGGTGGCGTTTCGGACTCCAGTCATTCCGGTGTCATCGGTGCGCAAATTCTGTTAGGTATTGGTGAGTTATCGAATGCCCTCTATCCTTCATTGAACATATCTGACAAAAGTCCCAGCTGGTGGAATGTTCCCCTACCCAGCCCAAGCCAGCATCCAGGTTGCGTCTAAGCATGAACGTTAGTATTCCCGGACGAACTCTGTCCCAAGCAAACAATGCATGGACTAACAACCCAATAGATCTCGCCGTTATAACTGGTATCTATCTGGCCGCCTACAACATCGGTAGCGCACTAGGAAACACAATCTCCGGCGCGATCTGGAACCAAGTGTTGCCCTCCGAACTAAATCATAGGATTGGCAACCAAACCCTGGCTGCCTATGTCTACGCCAAGCCTCTTGATTTTGCCGACGCCTACCCTGTTGGTACACCTGACCGAGACAATGCCATTCTCGCCTATCAGAAGACGCAGCGTCTACTGTGTATCACGGGTATCTGCTTGACAGTCCCCTTGATTGCCTTCGCTCTTGTTATTCGTAACCCCACACTCACGAAAGAGCAGAGTCTTGCCAAGGCGGAAGAGGAGAGCAGTGATTCTGATTTTTCTCCTCGGTGAAAAATACGCTATGTGCAATCTAATCTCGCTTAGCATATCTTGCAGAAGCGTATGTCTTACTTTGTTAGCTTAATGTTTCTGCGAAAGATCGTGGGAGTCAAGAGATCTCAATTGGTTCCCATTTCATGTATTATTCTGTTTCAATATATGGCTGTGCTGTCCTGGGTCCTCGTGACATTGAAGCTGTTAAGATTAGTCTGGAGTATCATGTATATCTCCTATCAATTTTAGTTGTTCGCACTCCTTATACCCCGCCTTCATTCTAGACCACAATATATATGTCAGTCGACCAGAGCATGTAGAACATATGCGCATATGACACCAAAGGGAAAGGATCACCAACTCACAACTCAACCTTGCTGATCAATGATTCACCTCAAATCACCTCAATCCTGAAACTGCTCCTGATCACGGGAAGTCGGTTCCGAAGAATTCATCCGATAATCCGAGAGCCGGCTGAAACATACATGGTATCTTTGCTGCTGATCACCCTTGCAGTCCAATAAAGAACTCCATCGACCCATCTTCGGCGTTAATGAACAGCGACAAAGACCGAACGGAGCGGCTTATACAGAGTCCGACACCAATTTTGGGAAAATCTCCGCATTGAAACCAATTCTATGCACGTAAAGATGTTAGGAATTGACCCACTTGGATGCAGTCGAGGGGTCAAAACTTGAAAGAAAAAAAAAAAAAGGCGGGATGATCTTGTTTTGACAGAAGTCCTAATATATTTAAAGTGAGAATCACGCCATCTGACTCCAGAATATAGTCATCTCTTCTCACGTTCATTGCCTTACAACAAGTTAAGGTTAATTATCATTCCGCCTCTAAATTGTATATCAAGCCCAGAAAAGCCACCATGTCTATCACTGAAAATAATAATCAACCACACCGAGTCCTCCTCGTCAGTGTACCCCGCACTGCCTCGAATCTTCTCCTGAAGATTCTCAACGTCTCCAACCAACCAAAAGTTCTCACCAACCCAAAAAGCGGCTACTTCTTCTATGATGCCTTCATGACAGCCGGCCGGGACGGTCGCTTGGACAAGCCGATAGAAGAATGGTCAACTGCAGCAAAGAACGAGACTAAAACCGCTTTCCAACGAGGTTTCGACGAACTAGAAGAATATTCCACCCGAGCACGCGCCGAGAACAAGATAATGTTCGCCAAAGAACATGCCTTCTGGTTCATCAACCCAGGCTTCTTCGCAGGCACCGACGGCGCCGAAGACCCAGAGCACATGAAAGAGTTTAGCGTATCCATGCCAGAACGCTACGGACCCTCGAAGACATTCTCAGCCAACAACAAAACTGTGTTGCCGGATGAGTACCTGCGCACCTGGCAGATAGCCTTCATCATCCGTCACCCGGCCCTCGCTTGGGCATCCATGTACCGAGCTATGCTCAAATTGTCTAAAGTTGGATTCATTGAGGATGATGACATTAAGGGTGCATCGATCGCGAATCTGACCATGAAATGGTCGCGGAAATTGTACGATTGGTGTCTTGAGCAGCCCGGGAACTCTGTTGCGCCTTTGGTCATCGATGCAAATGATCTCATCCATAACCCCAGTGCTGTGGTGAAGTTTTGCGAGAATACTGGTCTAGACACCGCATCTTTGCAGTTTGAGTGGAGTGGCTCTGAGAAGAAGTCTGAAAACTGGGCGCCTGAGAAGTCGAACATGGGTAATCCTCATCAGGAGAATTTGCATAAGACTGCTGCTTCTATCATGTTGTCGACTTTGGAGGACTCGACTGGTGTTGTTAAGGATAAGGCTCCTGCATTAGTTGATATTGATGCGGAGGTTGCTAAGTGGCGTGTCGAGTTCGGGGATGAGGCTGCTGAGATGCTTGAGAAGGCTACCCGGGATTCCATGCCGGATTATGAGTATCTGAAGGCCAAAAGGGTTATTGTCTAAATCCGCTTGTGATTTATTCTTTACTTGGGAGTTTCGGATGTATATTCGCTTCTTTAGAGTACAATTAAGACATATGGTTACACTTTGATTCTGACCAGGAGAAACCTTTCCGTAATGACCTGCAAAACAGCACACTAACTGGCAAATAAAGTAGTAAACTAGCAAACGAAGATTTCACAGTCTGAACTAGTACACAGCGTAGCAAACGGCAGGGTTTATATCACAACTACTCCGTATAGTAAGCGACTCACCAGCCCTCCAATCTTTTCTTTCTCTTGGAGCAACAACCACATCCACCTTCTAGTCAAAGATGGCGTCCAAAATCTTATACGCCAAGTCTATTTAGCGAATTAGCGCTCTGCTATTGCTATTAGCCCTCGTATGCGCCCTATTCAAGCCGTGAACTGAGAAACGGCAAGTCGCGCTTCAGGTCATAGGGGGTGGCGCTTAAGGTTGCCCAGTCGAGGGGGTCATGGTTCTTGCGGAAGTCATGGGCGCCTATCGGCCCGCCGTTGGTTCGGTTCTGTACAGGGGTAGATGTTTCGGAGACGCTAGATGGTGATAATGTAAAAAGGCATCAGACGATTGCCAGCCTTCGGACTATCCTGATACTTCTTAGTACCCACAGTTTTCCTCCAAAATATTCGGGTATTGGATGTGATAATCCATGCTGGTGTCGATAATATTGGATGTGGCCGGTTCGAACAAGTGCCCTGGTTGCTTGGTAATTGTGCCCATAGGCCGTAGCCCCAGCATGCGCGTCGTTAGTTTTCTGACTCGGATTCGGCATCAGAATATGTGGCGTGCTACTGAAAAGACAGCACAAGGCCGCTTATACGATCAACTATTCTCATACTAGTAATTCAGATATTTCATATTCTCTATCGTTGTGAGATAAAGCATTTAGGTATCAAATCACTCCTACATTGAGGTCTGAACCCTGGTGGCTAAACAGCTTCGTACATATAATGATGATGATATACAGCGAATTATCAAAGTGAACATCGCCGAAGAACTTCAACACCTCTATACATAATAGACGTAAAAGTCCCTTATCAAAGACTCTTTGAATACATCAACCTAGGCTTTATTAGGCCGCCTGACACTGAGAGCGTAGACATCGGACTTTATAATATTCCTTATTCTTTTGGCTGTTCCCCCGAAATCAGAATTACCCCTGACTCTGTCAGCTTATTTTAATGAACCAGGAGAGGAAATCCGGGGGCCAAAGATAAAATTACTAAAGTCCCAACATATGCAAGTGTTTGCCAAGATAATAATTAAAAATTGCTAGGCTTCCAAATTGCATTAGCGAAGAAACCTTGCCTGCTATTCAAGGTCACCTGATACCCTAGTCAAATTATCAGGGGGCCAACAATCTTTTCTTTCTTCCATCCTTGCGTGACTTCCTCTCAATTAGCGATGACGATAAGGCAAAGAAACCCTGCTGCTACAGCAGCTAATGGCAAGAAGAATGGAACAAATACCGCTACCAAATTCCTTGATGGTGCGTCGGACGAGTTCGAATTCGGTGGTTCAATTGGTGCCGCACTGTTGATGATAGGGTTTCCCCTGGTGATGTGGTACATGTGGATTGGTGCAACATACTATGATGGCCAGCTTCCTCTCCCCGAGTCCAACCAAACCTGGGCTGATTTCGGTCGTCACCTGTGCCAACTGGTCTATGAAGGAGCCTATCCAACTGGAAAAGCATGGGCGATCTACTGGATATTCTTTATCCTCGAGGCAGTCATGTACTGCTACATGCCCGGAGTTTCGAACTTTGGCCGGCCATTGAGACATGAAGGCGGCAAGAAGCTTCCCTACTACTGCTCCGCCTACTCCAGCTTCTATGCGACACTTGCCATTGCGGCTGTCCTGCACGCGACGGGTGTTTTCCCTTTATACACCCTAATTGACGAGTTTGGGCCTATCATGACTGTGGCTATCTTGTCTGGCTTCCTAAACAGCTTTATTGTTTACTTCCAAGCTATCGTGCGCGGACGAACCCACCGATTATCTGGCTCTCCTATCTATGATTTCTTCATGGGTGCTGAGCTGAATCCCCGAATTGGTATTCTTGACTTCAAAATGTTCTACGAAGTCAGGATTCCGTGGTTTATTCTGTTCCTCATCACCTGCTCCGTGGCTGCTCGCCAGTATGAAACATATGGCTATGTTTCAGCTGAGGTAATCTTCTTGGCTGGAGCCCATTACCTGTACACCAATGCCTGTGCCAAAGCTGAGCAGATGATTATTACAAGCTGGTAGGTGTAAAGAGATATCGGTGAAATGGTTTTAATACTTGCCATGCTAACATCAAGATAGGGACATGTACTTCGAGAAGCTGGGATTCCTGCTCACGTTCTGGAATATGGCGGGTGTGCCTTTCACCTACTGCCACTGTGCTCTTTACTTGGCCAATCACGACCCAGCTGAGTACCACTGGAATCCATATGCGCTTGGGGTGTTCGCCGCTTTGTACATTTTCTTCTACTGGATGTGGGATAGCGCCAATGGTCAGAAGAACGCATTCCGCCACAAGGAAAAAGGCCAGCTAGTGAAACGCAACACCTTCCCTCAAGTGCCGTGGCAGGCTATCGAGAACCCCAAGACAATCCAGACGGACACGGGTGATCATATTATGGTCGATGGCTGGTTTGCAATTATCCGCAAGCCCAACTATGTCCCCGACATGTTCTTCTCTATGTCCTGGGGTCTGATCACTGGTTTCAAGTAAGATCTCCCAAAGGATATATGAAGGTTATTGTGGTAACTAACTATTATCAATAGGAGCCCGTTCCCTTGGTTTTACTTTATTTTCTTCATGATTATGATCATCCATCGCACCAACAGGGATATCAACAGATGCCGTAGAAAGTACGGCGAGGCCTGGAAGCGCTACGAGAAGGAAGTTCCTTACCTATTCATCCCAGTAAGTTCATAATAACAACTCGAGGTAGTAAAAACTCGCTAACATATTCGAAGTATGTGATTTAATTAGCATGTCTACCATGCATGGGTGGCCAATTCTTTTCTTCTGGTGACGCTCCTACAACATTTTAATTTCCAATATGCACTCAATTTTGGAGTATAGGGATTTTCCTATCTCAAAAAGTTTGTATTTGTTTACTTGTCGGTGTTAAACTGGGATATTTACCCGTGCATAACCTTTCGAAGTACATGTGCGGGCTTTTAAGCACCACGGCTCATTAAGAGAATAAAAGTACATATCCTCGATAGTATTTATATGCATGTTAGACTGATTATCAGGGAGAACTGATACATTAAATCTTTAAGCCTATGTTTAAAGCAATATTTATCATTCGTGTATGTAGGATATTATATATCGTCAAGACTGCGCGACGACTAACTATATCTCTGGTATGATCTCCAATGTATCTCATACCACAAAACTATATAAACACCTCTTCACTTCACCTTCCAGTCCCAACCGGGCAGCACCACGCATGCAAGTGCCTGTTAGGGTAGTAAGCCGCAATGCACTCGCGCCATTTCATATCCTCCGCTGTAGTGCCATCAATAGTCAAATCAAAGCGCCTAATCATAGTCGCAAAAGCGATATACATCTCCGCCCAAGCCAAATTCATACCAAAGCACATGCGCGGCCCTCGACTAAACGGAACGAGCCAGTGATCCAACTCACTCTTCCCATTCCTGGCATCTGCTTTCTCTGCGCTATCTAGCCATCGTTCCGGTCGGAACACAAGCGCATCCTCGCCCCACACTTCCGCGCTCTGATGCACATGCAAAATAGCCATTCCGACCACCGTCCCGCCGGGAATCAGCTTTCCTGCTATCACGGCACCTCCTGCTGGTACGACGCGTGTTAGGGATACGCCAGACGGAATGAAGCGGAGAGATTCTTTGATGGTAGCGGTAAGGAGTGGTAGGGTTTCGAGATCTGCCAGGGACGGCTGCTTTTCGATGTCGGGCCAGACTTTTAGGATCTCGCCTCGCAGTTGGGCTAGCAAGGTCTGGTTCTGCATTGCGTGCCAGTGACCCATGAGCAAGGTGTCGGCTACGGTGTTGGCGCCTGCGAAGATGAGCGTGAATCCTTCGTCATGTAGCTCTGTCATATTCAGGACTTCCTTGCTCCGGTATGATTCCGGGTCGAGCATGCGGTGAAATAGGGTCTGGTGAGGGACGGTATCGAGCTTTGAAGGGCAGTTTAGGACGACTTGAAGCTGCTGCTGGACGAGATCCCGGACTTGATACAGCCGTGGAGCAAGCTTTTGGGCGTTTGGAATGAGACGCATAACAAGGGCCGGTGGCACGGCGAAGATAAGGTCTCGGATTATAGGGAAGTTTTTCATTAAGGGTATCATGACAAGGCTAGCATCCATGGCTAGAATTAGAGGGTCGCTAAACGCCGGTGCATCCAGGGCGTTTATGCAGTTGCCGAATGTGAAGCACATTATGGTGTCCAGAGTGTATGATCGAAATGCGTAGAGTAAGTCGACGGAGCGTTTTGATGCATTAGTTCTAGCGATGGAAGATGCAAGTCGGTTTGCCTGAAACGAGTAATTTAACGACGGTTAAGATGTATGGGTTGCCGTCAAAAGCAAGGCAAGGCACTCACATTTCGCCAGACCAGATGCTCAAGACTATTAATAGCTTTTTTGGAGAATATTGGAAGAATCACCTCCCGCCGTTCCTTTGCCTGTGCATACTTCAAAAATGTGAAGGATCCGGATGAAACCCCGGGAGTTCGGTAAAGACCCGTATCTTTGTCCCACCTTTTGCTGCTATGGTAGATATCGTGGAACGCACCGGGGCTTCCAAAATGGAGCTGTGATATGGTGAGTTAAAGAAGCCCTACAAGCCAGATAGAGAAGTGTAGACTTGGGTTCATTCGTAACTCACCTCGTTCGGAGCAACACGGACAATATCACCTAGGAATGTTAAAGAGAAAATTTCTCATATGATCTATTTCTTCATACCATATTGCTTATGAAGATCAAAGAGCTCGTGAACTGCAGACTCCTTTTTGATAACTTCTTTATATGCTTTCCAACTCGATGTCGCCCCGGCCATCCAAGGCCCAGGGAAATTTCGTAGTGGGTGAAAAAAGACATTGTATATAACTCGGCTAAAGCCATAAAGACTAGCAGCTACCAATAGAAATAGGCAGAATAGTGTTGTCGCCATGTTTTACTGAGATATTTTACTATGTCAGCATGTCAGCAAAGCAAAAGGGAAACGCGGGAGTTCAAATATATAATTCCAACAAACTATAAGAAACTCCGAAGATTGGAAATATATCCGGGGCCATTTTAGTATCGCCATGACTCCATGTCTAAATTTGGTAAGAATCTCATCAACACTAAAGCGTTCTTACAATAGGGGAAGTAATATCTGAGGGTCCTGCAAATGTCATCGTAGAGTGGGGGACCTCGTAAGCTACATGGCTTTAGGCTGCAATCTCAATTTATCAAATCACTCCTTATCCTATTTACCTCACATCATTTTAGGCATATCTACTACATATGTCAAGTATAACCAAGAGCTCTAACTTGTTTCCTCACTATCCCAACCAGTCGTTTCCGTTGACCTGGACAAAAGTACGTCAATACAACCCAACGCTCGCCGATACAAATCCTGAAGATTACGGGACTGTAAGTGAACTTGATTTACTCGACTTAATAGCATCAAACATGCTACGGATATGATTTTCAGCTGGAACAAACAATAGATTAAAACACGGCTTAGGTTTTGAGTGTTCGATTTGCTTTTGCACCGGTATATTTTAGAGCGAAGATGGTCCCTTCAAAAGTGAGAAATTTAGTGATAATGTAAGCAATAGCTTAGACCTCGGAAAGGCACGGGAATATTCCAGCCCTAGTTCCAGAGTAGTGAACAGATCTAGCAAGGTCATTAATTTTAGACCTGGCTGATATAGAATATTTGTAGAGGCCCTGCGGAGATTAGAAGTCCTAGAAAGAAACCTTTTTTCAATCCAATAGTAGAACCACAAAACAGGTGACTATCTAATTGACATAACAGGGGCAGTCTATATGACTATGGAGTTGCTTAGGTGTGTTTAGCCAAAATATATCGAGTTGAACCCCACGCGATGAACATAATTTGTGTCCACATCATATTTTTTTCACCTAGACCATGAAAAGATCTGCTATGCAGTGATTTCATCATCCCCAGGTGGCTTGCATCGAACAGAAAACTAAACGGCACGTGTTTTCACCACGGATAGCGCGATGTGGGCTAAGCAGCGCAAGGTTGTTGTCGCGAGGTGATCATCTAGCTCATCTCTAATACTGTCTTCGGTGCCACCGTATGTCATGCTAGATGAGCTTCTTGCTAGATCCAAGGAGGAGCAGGCTCCGCTGAGTCAAATGAGCCGACAACCCTAGAGGTATCCTAACCAATCTCCTTTAAAATGACCATCCTGGTCACTGGAACATCAAAATTTAATGCTGCTAGACATCAACAAACGCGACAAGGCATACCAGACGCTTACTTGATTAAGAGCATCAATATCCTTGAAAGCACGAGACAGCACTATGGCGATGCAACACTATGAGCCAACTGCTTCAGGTATCAGCAGAACAAGGAAATACCGACGACACCCTCACTCAGCGAGAAGGAATTGACTGGTAAACCCTTCCTCTTCACGCAGCTTCCAACAGCAAACAGTATCTCCTGCGTCATAATGCTGCTGAAGACGTCCTAGGATGTGATTAACCTTCCAACTCCACCGTTACTATTAATATCATTTCACTACATCTTGATCTAGAAGTGTCGCCTGATACCCACTGGTGTTTGACCGAGTACCCCCTGGACAAATCCACAATAATGTAGTTGGTTTCCCGCATTAATTTAGAGTTTCTGTCCAGAATGACTCGGTACAGGCGGAGTATGTTTCCGCTTCGACTGAAGACACAAGGGATGTTCTGATCGGCATTTGTTCTTCACCGGAAAAAAACTCCAGTACACGTTACACGGCGAGTAGAGTATCAAGTGATATCTTCAGGGAAATTCATGTACTCAGGCGTTGTGGTTATCTGTCTTGATTGGAGAAATATGGCAAGGGGTTTCATGAAAGTCGACGTGGGGTAACTATGTAGGTCTAGCAATCGAACCATAAAACCAAGGCAAGAATGTGATAGCCCTGCTGGTGATGCTATGTTGTACAACCTATATATACATAGTGGTTGAGAGTTTTCCAGGCAAGGGCTTGTTGATCACTAGATAAGAATGGTTCCCTTGGTAGAAGCCGTAGTATGATGATTTATGATATCTCCCTTAAATAGAGTCTACATCTACAAACTTCTGCGGAATATCAGGTTTTATATCCAAAATGTGGGACTATTACAATAGCAAGACCATCTTCATCACTGGGGGGACTGGCTTCCTGGGGACTGCTGTTGTATATCGCTTGCTCACGCAAACATCCGCGTGTCACGTATATATGCTGTGCAGAGGAGGGATAGGGTCAGTTCCAGTTCAGCCTAAGATGCATATGCTGGGGATAAGTGATTGACAACTCAATGTATAGGAAACTTCGATCTAAATGGACAGAATCGCTATCATCGGCAACAGTCGAAAGGCTTCTTCGCATGAATCGCATCACGGTCATGAATGGTGACATCCTCTCACCAGACCTTGGGCTTTCGCCGGATGAATTAAATACACTTAGACAAGAGGTCGATGTTATCATTCACTCAGCATCCTCTATCAATCTCGCGAAGCCCCTCGATGCACTATCAGATGTCATTATCAGAGCCAGTGAAAGAATGGCAGATATTGCTTTGACCTGCCCGAGTCTGGATCGATTTGTTTATGTCTCAACTGCATATTCAAATGCCCATCTACCTCCCACTGAAGGCATCGAAGTCGAGATTAAAGAAGTCATCTATGATCCCAGCCGTCATCCAAACGTGATCAAGGAATGGGAACAAGTGAAAGAGAGTGGCTCTAGCGATGCGTATAGAGCGCACGACTTCCCATGGCCCTACGCATACGCAAAGAACTTGACAGAGCGACTTCTTATCCATCTGTTCGCTCAGAGTGGTGTAAAGGATAAGCTGCTTATTTTGCGCCCGTCTGTCATCGGACCGGCCCAAAATTTCCCAGTTCCTGGATACAATGTGCCACTATCGAGCCCAACGACAATGATTGCTGCTGTGCTTGCACTGAGCCCTGCTGGCTCGCCTATTATTGGAACAAGAGCAGGACATCCTTCCCAAGTATCTTTTGACGAGGTTCCAGTCGACGTGGTAGTTGATCGTTTGATCGCCCATTTGGCTATGGGAACCAATGGTTGTGTTCATGCAGTCAGTGGGAAGCGAGCACGGCATCAAGCGACGAACTGGTGGAAGTCAGTGATTTCGATACGTCTTTTGCCAGGGAAACTTGATTTGAATTGGGAAGATCTGGACTGGAAGTCCGATGAGCAGCATCCACTGGCTCAGTTATATGTGATCTTTGGCTCTTCTTTCGGGTTTCATGATGATAAGACTGTCAGTCTTAGTCGGCATGGCTTCATAGAGACCTGTAAAGAGCTGCAGCTGTTCACAAACATCCATCTTGCAGACCAGTTTCGAATTCCAATGGAAGACGTCTACTTTGTGATGAACCATATTGCTAACAGTGATGCAGGGGTACGACGAGTCATCCAACTCTACTACCAGGATTCTATGATGGCCAAACTTTAGTGTGTTCATTTTCTGTTTGCAGTCAATTTACCAATGTAATTTGTTTCTCATAGAGTCTTGAGAATTCGATAATATGCAATTCTATGGCTATGCGCGATGTCAGTGGTTTTGCAAGCCTCCGGGGCTCCCCGATCTGCCATAATTATTCGGCGCCAGCGCCAATGTTGGCCATTTTTTTAATTGTTTCGTTAGACATCTTCAAATTCCTCGTCGTCCTCATCAGACTCCTCAGCCTCCTTCTTGACATCAGACTCAACTTTGGCGTCAGGATCAGGCTTGATGTCAGGATCGACCTTGATTTTCTTTACCAAAGGCCCATCATCGGCAGGGGTAGATGGGGTGCCAACAGATGATTGAGGAGCACTCGAGGTTGGTTCGAGTTCGCGCTTGATACCAGCGCCCCCAGAGGATGTGGTAGGGACACTTGTAAGGCCGCCAGCCATGGCAGGCGTGCCGGGTCCACTTGGACCGGAAATTCCCTCAACGTCCTCAAAGTCTTCCTCGTCTGAGTCTGAGTCTGCACTACTAGCATCTGCTTGAGCCTGCAGTGCCTTCTCCCGCTCCATTTCAGCGTAGTAAGCGGCGACTTTGTCGTCCAAGGCATCCACACTGGGCTTTTGGTCCTCATCCGCAAGCTCAGGCTTCACCACGGTGCCCAACTCGGTCTTGATCTGAGAAGTGCCAGCCTGTGCTGCGCTGACTGTAGAATGTGTGTGCCAAACTGGAAGCGCGTTTTGCTTTTCGAGTGCTGCTTTACGAGCGGCCTCCTCGGCCTGCTCGGCGGCACTCTTCTCTTCACTTGAGGTGAGAGAGATCTCCAGTGCAGCGGCATCCGTCTTGGCATTGGGACGTGTAATATCCTGGGCCTTGGGTGGAACAGCAATCGCAGCACGAACTGGATGTGTGTTTTGGTTTCGGATAACCTCCACCTTGTGATCCCACGCTGTTTCAAAGTCATTCGGCGGAATTTCCACCGAGTCAATCTGCTTCAGCAGTTTGAGCATGTTGTCAAGCTGTGCCATAAGCTTACTGTTTTTCTCGTGACCCGTTCGCTCGATTCCTTCCACACCCTTGACATCCTCGGTCCGTTCCAGGATGGCGCCGCAATTTTGACATTCGAACCCTTCCTCTCCAACCAAACTCAATACATCTAGTTCGGTCCACTCGGACTTGCATCGTACACAAATATATTCCTTGCGCTCCTCACTCGGTGTGTACTGCGCTTTGATGGTGGCTGTCAACTTGGAGACTTTGTATTTTATCGCATCGACAACCGGGTGCAGGGGGATGTAATAGTATTCGCGGTTGACTGGGCGAGTAGACCCATCACGTATCTCGGCGCGTGTGCTCCTATAATCAATATAGAACTGGATCAGCTTTGCTTTTCCACCGTTTGTTGTAGGTCGTGTCAGGGAGTTGTGACATACACTCCGATCAAGCGATCCTCCCGAAGCCTGGCGCAAAGTTTTCGGAGATCTTTTTGTTGCATTCCCATCAAAAATGCGAGGTCCTCAGCATGAAGTCTGTAGCTAGTCAGCATATTGACCATTCAACAGAAATCGAGTATCATCATACACTGAATGCAGGAAGAGCGCATCAACAACCAGTATGTGACGGGTCTCGTAAAAGGCCCGTGCCACAGTTCGGATAAGAGTTTTTGAAAGATCCATGGCTGTGGAAGCTTTCAAGCAAAAAATGGTAGTCGCGAAGAAGGCCGGGGGGAGAATTCAACAGGAGCGCAAGGCTATAAGTCGCAGTGTTCAGAAGTTCGACAAGACAAGCATGCTTTAATCAAAGGCAAGAAAGGAGTGACGGTGTCCACGACAGAAGTGAAGGTGAGATTTAGCGACAGGTAGTGCCTTGTTGATTGAACAATGAGCGTTGCAATTCCGCAGCTTCACGTCACATGCAAGTTGATTCCTCAGGCTGAGATATTACCAGATAGGGCTAGTCTAGTTTATCAATGCACTAGGCCATTAGAGGACTAGTGTCAAGATAATCGAAAAGATGAACCACGCGGAGTCGAGGGCAAATTTCGCCGAAACATTCATGCGTCCCTCGATCATTCACCAGCGGAGCCTTTTTGGGATCGTAACTGCACCCAAAGTTTTGATTCTAAGTCGATCTCTCCCCCAGAATACCGCAAACCACGCCATTACTCGTCAATCTTATCGGTATTTTTGGCGCGACCCATCTGCACCTCGTACAGAGCTATCAGAGGTCTTTCAGCGGATACAATGGCCGACAACAAAGGAACAGGAGGCCCAGGTGGTGGAAGGCGTAAGAACCGCGATATGGGGCGATCTGAATGGAGGTATGGCATATCAATTATAACCTCTCGTTCTTCGCATTGTCGGCTAACTAATTAAGTCGTCAAGCGATAGACAAGCGCCAGCGTCATGAAGATAAGGCCGAAGCCAAGCGTCGCAAGATTGAGAATGGTGAAGAGGTAACCCTTCCGATCTACGCGACACAATTCTCCAAGGAGGAGATCGACAACGAAGAGCGCCGACCCAAAAAGAAGGTCGCGCTTCTAATGGGGTACTCAGGGACTGGATACTCTGGGATGCAGTTGTAAGTCTTTTCTTGTTCTGTGTATGGTCGTTCCTTGGGCTGACAAGGTATGGCATAGGAACGAGCAACAACGCACCATTGAGGGCGATCTATTCACGGCCCTCGTCAACGTCGGCGCGGTCTCCAAAGCGAATGCGGCGGATCCCAAGAAATCTTCTTTCGTCCGTTGTGCCCGCACAGATAAAGGTGTCCACGCAGCGGGCAATGTTGTGTCGCTAAAAATGATCGTTGAAGACGAGGATATTATCCAGAAAATCAACGCCCAACTCAACCCTCAAATCCGTGTCTGGGGTTACGAAATCACCAGCAAAAGTTTCAGCTGTTACCAGATGTGCGATTCCCGAGTTTACGAATATTTGATGCCAAGTCACTGTCTCCTACCGCCTCACTCAAGCACCTATCTTGGAAAGAAGATCGTCGAGCTTGCCGACAAGGCAGGCGAGCTGGATGCCGTCACAGCCCGACAGGAAGAGGTCGCAAGCTATTGGGATGATGTTGATGTGAAATACATCAAGCCTATCTTGGAAACTCTTCCGGAAGACATCCGCAGTATTGTCGAAAAGTCCCTCTACCAGGAGGAGTCCTCCCGCGACGCACTCCAACCCGCAGAACAGAAGGAGGTCTCCTCGGCACCAGCTGAGGAAGCCACTCAGAAGGAGACCAGCGAACAGCCTGCAACTGAACAACCCGCAGCTGAACAACCAGCCGAAGTAGAGGCCAAGCCATTCGTCATGGACCCCCGGCAAAAGGCTATCAACGACGCCATCAAGGCCATCAAAGCGGCATACCTGACCGCGAAACGAGCCTACCGCGCACCGGCTTCACGCATCGCCCGCCTACAGGAATGTCTCAACCGCTATGAAGGCACCAAGAACTTCCATAACTACACAATCCAGAAGACGTACAAGGACCCCTCAGCGAAACGACACATCAAGTCATTTAAGGTCAACACCACACCGATTATCATCGATGGCACGGAGTGGCTCAGCCTGAAGGTCCATGGGCAGAGTTTCATGATGCATCAGATCCGCAAGATGGTCGCCATGGCTGCGATGGTTGTCCGTTCGGGCTGCCATCCAGATCGGATCACTGAGACCTATGGCCCCGAGCGCATTGCTATCCCCAAAGCGCCTGGTTTGGGCCTCTTGCTTGAGCGGCCCATTTTTGACGCTTACAATAACAAGGCACAGGGTCTTGATCGTCAGCCGATCAATTTCCAGAAGTTTGAGGCAGAGATGAATGAGTTCAAGCAGCGGGAAATCTATGATCGGATTTTCAGGGAGGAGGAAGAAAGTGCTGGGTATGTTCAATCCTTTGTCTCATTTGGTTTCACATTAAGACAACAATACTAACCCTGACTGCAGCTTTGGTTCTTTCTTCAACCACATCGATCACTTCCCCGCGGGTTACTTCCTCTATGTTACTTCTGGTGGTATCCCAGCGGCTAAGCTCGCAACTGCGCCTACCGCTGCTGACCCCGGCAGCCCCAAAACTGGTAAAAAGACCCGGGGCGCTCCCAGGGCTCAGCGAGATGCGCTTGCTGCCGTGGAAGTCGAATCAGAAGATGAAGGCGATGCTCCAGCTGGCGGAGAGGAAGAGGGTTGATCAAACAAAGTAAATCTCCATCCTACATTGAACAAAATGAACAAATAATGCTCTACAAACCTCTGGATTCAATCCAAGGTCTCAAGACCAGAAACTCTTTCATTTCAATGCTCGGAAATAGGCTTGTGAAATGCACGTAGATGACCTATCCAAAGTCACCCTTCATAGAAATAAATCCTACTCCGGCTCATCGTGAGCAAAAGAAAACGCCAGTACCAACCACAATCATCGCGAGGGAAACAACTGCAAGAATTCGTAAAATCCGTGAGGTATGACAATTCACCTTTAATCACATGCACACAATGTGCTCGCTGAATCCATCAACATCGCAAAAAACGCATGGAAAAGAAACATAACAAAAAGCACATGGCAGCGGGTAATATCATTGTCTAAGGAGATCCAGCAACTCCCATTTCTGAATCAGTTGCGATCGCAGAGTTTGCATCCCATTCCTCGACTGAGGCCACATCCGATTCTAGTGGGATCGTGTTAGATGATGTTCCAGGACCATTCAGGAGGGATAGGGATTGAAGCATACCGGAAGGCGGGTCATCGGGGAGTTCTTCGAGCGACATCGATTTAAGGAGTGAGAGGATTTCTGAGAGGTTTGTGTTAGTGTGGCTGCAAGAACACTACGGGGATACACTCAAGTCTTACCAGTGACCTGTTGAATCTCTTGCTGGTCCGTCTCAGAGTCGTCATAAAAAGTAGCCAGACAATAGTTGATCACCGGAGTGATATTCTCAAGCATTCTAGCGTCAATATGACTGATCTGATCGGTCAGGAATGCCGACTTGAGCCGCTCGATGCATGCATTCGGCAGCTGACGACCAATGCTACGCCGTCGCTCTGGTGTGATACATTCGCCAGTTTGTTCGGAGTCCTCTGTGCTGGCCTCCACGATCTTATCGTTGAAGATCATCTCGTCGAGGATATTGTGCATGTTGCGACGAACAGTCTCGTCCTTATCGATTAGCAAGGTCGGCGCCCAGACCGAGATATTGTCAAGAACAAGGTCGGTGAATTTAGCAGAGTCCATGTTCAGCCGCTGGTTATTACCACGGCAAAGACGCATGAAGAAATCAATATGCTCCTGGCCGCCGCTGTTGTCAATGCTTTCGACTCCCTTGGCAACGAAGTCGATCATGTGAATGACTCGCTCCTTGTCTGGACATCGCTGGCAGAACGTTGTGGTTGCTTCCAGGAATGGTGTGCACTGGATGGCTGGTTCAAGCCTGAGGCCATTCTCCAGTGTCAGCTGAATCGAATCCAGTAAGCCTGCGCCAGGCTCTCCGTCTAGCAGAACTCCAAGGATGGCGCGGGTAGTCTGGCTCCTGGAGAGAGTCTCATGCCTCAGAAGCTTCAGCAAGATAGTCAAGGCCCCATCAGGTTCGACGGGGTTGATGAGTTCAATTTCCCTGGTGCTGGCCGAGAACTTCCCATTCAAAACCTGTCGTTGTCCACCAATGGGAGTTGGGGGGAGGGAAAGGTCAACGTGCTTGAAAAAGACCAAGCACAATGAGAGCAAAATCAGATGGTTGAATCGACGTCCTTTGTTCAAGAGGCGCACGTAATTGAGATACCGGCCCCGCAATTTCTTCGTATCCTCCTCGTCGATCCAGAGAATCTCCATACAGACGGCGAAATGACCTTGGTCGAGTAAAACCAGGATGATCTCCGGGCCATAGTTGCAAAGCTTCAATAAGAAGCCAAAGTAGTCATCCCAGACTCGGGAAGCGGATTGAACTTCGGTCCAGAGACCTGTCAACATGGGGACAAGTTGCTGGATGGATTCATCGAATCGCTCGCGCCATGACATCCGCTCCTCTTCATTGAGATCCTCGCTTATCGACATCAAGTGGAGATGTTTTAGGGCATTATTGACCAGCAAAATTCCCTTGCTCCGGATTTCTGGGTTCTGCGTCTTGATCAGAAGATTATACATCGAGGTCTGCCGATTGATGGCCCACTCAAGGACCGATTGGGCCGCATTGGGGCTTTTGCTGATCATGTCGACGAGTTCGCTGTAAACCTCCTGGTGTCCTTGGAAATACTTGGTACGCGTGACCAATTGCTCAATGGTATCCATTCCAACATTGATCGCCCATGATTCCGCCATAATCTTGCTGGGGTTTTCTGTTGCCATGTCGGGCCACCGCTGGAGCAATCTACCCACGAAGTATGCATATTGCGGGTCCAGAAGACAGTAAATCCGAATGAGCATCTCGTTGTCCATGGCAATGTAGTTCTGGGTTGAAATTGACACTGGAAGATGTATAGGGATGTCGGGCTTCGTGGGCTTGTAAATTTCTTTGCACTTTTCGATCGTGGACACGCGTTGATAGAACAGCATGTATGCATTCCACACTTTGTTCTTGGGGGCCCCATTCATGTACTGCATGGTCTCACTTGGACCACCAAAACATTGACCTGCGATTGTGCTAGGATCAAATTTGCCGACATCGGAGTCGTTGAACTCGACCCAATTTGCTTCGCCGCCAGATGACGGGCGCTCGAGGGTATATGAGTAATAGTGACCTGATTCGGCTGTTCCGGTGTGCACAAGGACGCCGACCAATTCAAAGATATCCGGCGCGATGGTCCGCTCCGGATCAGAGAGATGCTCCACCGTGTAGGGAGTCATGTCGATGTGGTGAGGGAATTGGAACTCGTCATTAATCTTGCTTCTCAGCATGTGCACCATGTCGAAGTCAAAACGCTTCAAATGGAAGATCAAATTGTCAGGAACATCTTTCAGACAAGCACTAAATGGGAGTCAGAACATCTGTTTGTGTTGCTATATCGATTGTCACTCACCGCTTTACAGCATCTACATGCCGTCCACACGAGGTACAAGAGTACTTGTTATCTGCAAGCTCGTTAGAATTTGACCTCCGTTAGGGACGCAGTATTAACTCACCTCCCTGCATCACCTCGCCCGCCACATAGGCTCGCAAACTGTCTTCAAGAGTCGCCTTCCCTTTGATCTCGCACTGAATTGCAGAGAATGGCTCAAGTCTTTCCGAGATATGGTCGCATTCCATTGACTTGATTTGCTGGACAAGCTGTCCTCCATAGAAAGACCGGAACTTCTTCTTCATTTCGGTATCGAGGACCTGGGCCTCCCAGCGATCAAAGAGAAGATTGTAGAACTCATCAACGTCCATTTGGACGGTCACATCAATCTCCTCGTTGTCATAAGTGAGAATGCTTTTCACAAAGTCTGCAGGTTCGATGCTCTTGCTCCAAGTCTCCTGCATCCATGTAAATAGTCGCTGGGTTTCATAGAGTAGCTTTTGGGAAATTCGATCAGCAATGGGGAGATTCAGGATAAAGTCTCGAAACTCAATATTCATGAAAAGTTGTGTCATGAGGGAGTTGAGGTAACATGTGTTCGAGAGATTCTTGAGGCCCGCATAGCCTTCCGGGGACCGAAGCATTAGCTGCCTATTATAGCCATAGTCCAGATAAGGGGAGTCTATAGTTGCGGTTAGCTTGCTTTGAAAATAAAATGCACTGGGTAAAGATTAGTGATGCAAACCTCGTGGGACATTTGTGTTGAGAAGCTCCAATATTTGACAATAAGTCTCATCGCTCTGCTTGCACAGCAACGTCACGACATTGTATAGGCCTGAGCGAGTGTGGCTGTGCATGATTGGAATCTGAGGGACTGCATGGTCCACCGTGTCTGGAGAGAAATCTGGGAACAGGTACTGATTAAATATTTCCTCGGCGATGTTCCTAAACCCCAGTTAGACATGACTAAAAACCTTGATCAGACAGAGAGGTGTGACGTACAAACTGTCCAAGGTGATACCCGCGGCGTTGGCCAATTCCAGACACCATTCTAACAATGCAGAAAATCCGATGATCAAATTATCTGCTGGCTCACGCCCAACAAACTACAAAAATCATTAGTAAACAGTATATATATGTTTTTTTTTGGGGAAATGGAGATACCTCTTCTGTCTGGTGAGTGAGCATAACTGCACTCCATTGTCGAAGATAGTCGTTGAAGATCAAGTCCCCAGGTGATTTCTGCGCGACTGCACGGAACATCCATAGAGCAGCGTTGAAGAACTCTTCCGACTGGGGAACATAGTCGACACTCTTGGGGATCACTTGCAAAAATGACGACCAAAGAGTGGCAAGCATGTGAACCCGGTTGGGGTTTTCCGCAGTTGGGGATTCCGTATCGGGCTTTCTCACTGATAACTTGAACGGTTTCAGCGGGCCGCAGATTATCTTCAAGCGTTCCAGAATATCAGTCCGGATTGGCTTTCGATGTTCTTCCAGGAGTAAAGATTGGATCAAGCCATCAAACTGGACATGCTGTTTAACAGCGTTCCAGATATCAAGGTCGCGCAATGATCCCTCGACTAGAACTGCAAAGGAATTGCAAATCAAACTTTGGGCGCATGTACCAGCGGGTGGATCTGCGGGACAGGTGCGGCCAATTTCAAGCAGGTCAAGAACGTGTCGGACCAAAGACATTGGATCGGCAATAAGAACAGACTCGTCATCAGTCGGGCGGTAGACTAAGGTCACAATTAGTTCGCTGCCAATTTACTAAACAATGGTTAGAATTCAACATACCGGATATCGCAAGCAGAAGACATTCAATGGCTCTGGTAGCGAGCACGATGGTTATTGAGTTACCAGAGAGAGAGCTGAACAGTTCATCTGACGTCAGAAACGCAACCAAAACTTGGTTGCTATGAGACACAAAAGCCTGATCTGGAGACATCTGTAACAATCTTTAGCACGAATATCATTCAAATTAAAAGTGACCAACTCACCTCTGCAGCCTCCTCGTGGAGACACATTGATAGTGTATTAAGAGAGTACAAGGCCTTGAAAGGTCTTTGCAACGGGAACATGTCTTTCTCGGTATTGCTGTTCGATCGAACAAGTTCGAGAGCCCGCACTTGAGGCGGAAAGACAACCAGGAAGTCAATGATCTACAAAGTGTCAGTCTCAGCATTCAGCTAAAAAAAAAAGAGCGAATAGAATCTTACCTGTCGAGCCAAGTCATCCTTCAGATCAAGAAGATCATACAGCTCGTCGAAGTGCTTCAGCACTTCGTTGTCCACTGCTGTCAGAGACTGCCGTCTCCCAGCCCACGTGATTTCATGCGCATCAGGGGCCTTTCGAAGAATGAGTAAACCCGAAGAGAGCTTCAAGTTTTTCACAAGTGCGTCTGGGTCTTGCAGCAACTCAACCTTGTGTCCGCCGAGGATAGCAGTAAACTTGGAGAATCGACTCAGCTGCACCAGCATTTCTACAAGTTCAGCAGCGGTAGAGAGACTACCAATACGCTTTGAGCAGATTTTGGACATGGTAGCGCCATTGAAACACTGATATCTGAATTCAATGGGCTCGCCTTTTAGAGGACGTTCCGGGAGGGTAGGCGGAGAGCCATGAGGAGAGCTGTACTGCGGCCGTGTTCGCAATCCGTGGAGTAATTGACGAAGAAAATGTAGAGACCTGCTGAACATGAGTTCATCTGTTTCAATGTCGCCATTTGAATTGTCCGTGTCCATAGAGACATCGTCATTGGCTGTTTCATTGCAAGATGGCTTCAACGCGGCAGCGGCAGACTTCAGTTGGTCCACGCAGCGATTGACCAGAGCAATATGGGTAGCGTCGATGGCCGATCGAGGGGATCTGCGCACAATAGCGTGGTCTAGATAGCTATCGATGGCGAACTTAATGGCCTCGGCTTCGATCGATTGTGGAGGCGCCCTCAGTATGAAGTTCCAGATTCGATCCATTCCAGGGATTGCTATGACTTCATCCTCCCCGACAACGGGGGGTGACTTGATTCGAATCTCGTAATGGACCGACTGTTGAGCGAACCACAATACCTCGCACGAGTAGTCCTTTGGAAGCACACTTGGTAAATACTCATGAATGCACAATTCAAGGAACCGGTTCTCCTTGGTGGTACGGTTGGTGAGGTCAACCATCATTTTCCAAATATTTTGACGCTCTTCAGGAGCCAGGTTCTCGGACATGAAAATCTCATTCCAGAGTGTGTTCCCGAGCTCAGGCGTGATAGTCTCTGGTGCCAGGTCAATGAGACGCCGCAGGATTTCCACCCGCGAGGAAAAGCCGTGCTTGGAAGACGGGTCCTTGAGCTTAGCGTGGTCTTGACCAACGAGATGGTGCAGTTCGATTATCACCAATCGTGTCAAGTCGAAATCGTTCGCAAGTTTCCACAGTTCTCGTGCGTCATCACGGGGTACCAGTGCATTCAACACTTGGATACTACCCGCTGTGCATTCGTTCATCTCTCCAATGTCTTGGATGCAGCGCTCATATGTCTCGGTCATATCGGTTTCGTTGAGTCCAGCCTTGATAAACTGTCCCAGCTGCTCGGTTCCAAATCCCTGCATGAGTTCCTTTTGTTCCAGAGGCAGATCCTTCGCCCCCGAGCTCTCACGGATTAGGCGGATGCATAGCTTTAGTGGAATAGAATCGACATGCTCCTCATCGGACATGTTTCGGTGGTCCCGATCGCGCATACGAGGCACCAGCTGCTCACAGAAATCGATTATGCGACTGTCGAAGCGATCCAAGGGGAACTCAAGCAATTTGGAGCAGACATAGAGCAACGCTTTAGATCTTGACGGATGCATGGCAAAGGTTCGTGCGAGCATGGACATGACCTCACTAACAGTGCGATCATCTTGGCTCTCGGTGACGGTTTTCCAGATAACATCCGTGTCATGGTCGGTATATTTCTCCGTCACAATGAGAAATCCGAAGATGTTACTGCTGCGGCTGATCAACTGCGGGTGTGAATCAATTCCCACAAGATAATCAAGAATCTTGTTTTCTCGGAGATATTCAACCAAGTATTTCAGGAACGGCTGCTCGAACCCCTCGCGGTTCTGGGATACATTTTGACCCCAGATACTGACCAGATCTGATTGCATCGTCTCCACGCCGTGGACTCGAAGCTCCATTCGACCTTCCATGATTTGCTTCTTCAGGAAACCGAACTTCCACGCCCAGATGACACACAAAGCGGCTTGCTCTGCATCGGCGTCCTCGGGTACTTGAATCGACAATTCCTGGGCAAGTTGGAGCAAAAATTCCGAGTAACCTAAGCAAAGGAAACGGTAGCTGCGGAAGATTGGGGTCAGAAGGTTGTCGCTCAATTCACTGGTGGCCAGTTGCGATTTCTTTGCAACAAATGATTGGTATATTTTATCAATTGCTCGGACCGTTTCGTAAAAAGACTGAAGGCTGCTTGAATCCATAGGCAGGTCAACAGGAGAGTCACGGCCATTTTGATTGCTCTCCGTGTTGCATTCGAAAAATGCGAGCATGTTAACCACAAGGCATGAGAGCATCATGACGATCTGTGGACACCTAGGGATCAATGAAAGCAAGTGCGAAGCATATTGAAGGAGTGCGCCAGGTGCATCCAACGGAGGTGCCAAGACTTGAGCTTTCAGTCGAGCAGAAAGATTGAGAGCTCCAGTGCGGGATTGATTGTCTAACACCCGGAAAAGGGGAATTTGCTCGCCATGGAACATCCAAGGGAAGCTATGAAGGTATCGTCGAGAGGTGCTTGGAGGCATTTCAATATCTTTGTCATTGTCCTCGACGGTATTGAGAAGTTGAGTGTCCAAGCGGACAAAATGAAGGACAATGCGAGCATAATCGAGAAGATATTGCTCGAAGAAGGTTGAGATATCTTCAATCCCATCCAGTTGTAGGTCTTGTTGTCTGCGCAAAAGACGATCGAGGACGGTGGGTAAACATTCCCAGAAATCTAGATCTGACGCAAATTCATCGATTGTGAGCCGATCAAGATTCTGCGCGCAAGTATGAAGCCATTGTTGTATTGTAGTAAGCGCCGTGCCTTCCCGTGGATGTCCTGTTCATTAGGTTAGTATCTCGCCAAGGCTTGTAGAGTACAGTCCTTTCTTACCATGTTCAAGCATATCACCAAGCGCCTTGAAATTCTCCCGGGCTGTCAGCTCTGTGTGTACTTTGGGGAATGAGTCGGAAAGAGGAGCCACGTCTTGGATCTCTATCACTTCGGGTTCATCCTGATCCCGGACCACTTGGCCCAGTGGCTTCCAGTTGGAGAGTTTCGGGTCTTGATTGATGTCTTCTGGTTCAGCAACTTCGATTTCAGGACTTCGGGGTGACGATGGTGAGGAGGAAAGCGAAATAGGAATGGGAGCTGGATCGGTATCTGGTAGGAGCTCCAGATCGCTCCCTGAGAGCTCAGGGTCGGAGGGAGGGAGGTCGGAAGCCATGGTAGTTAGAGGAGATTTTGTGTTAATGGTGACTTTGTTAGCTGGATTCTCAGAATCCAGGGCCTCATCCATTTCTGAGGCAGGTGCGATGGAGGCAGTACGCGAGGTTCCACCCAACGACAAGGTCGGGCTTACGCGACTTCCACTGTCGAGACGCGGACGTTTCCGGGTCGCCTGAGGATCAAGATCCTCCATGGAGTTGATAAATGGAGATTCTTCGATCAAGGGAGTGTCAGGTGGGGTGCAAGAGCTATCTGGCGGGGGTACAGCCATGTCATTTTCTGCGCGTAGGAGATCCAGGGAAGTTGAACGCGTGAAATGAAGGTAATACAAGGCTGAAGGTCAATAAAAAAGAGGGTTGTAAGTTCAATAAAAGGATTGAGTGGGAGAGAAATAGAGGTAAGTCCTCAGAAAAGATAAAGCGGTCGACAGCTTTTTTTGGGGACGCGCCAAACCAGTGACGTTGTTCTGTGGAGAGAGAGAGCAGATCATGACATTCTTTAAAGGCAATCAAGCTCATAGAGATTTACTATCGCATATTTGCATTGCACTTTATAGTATAGTTTACATATATAAAGAAAGAAAAAAAAAATTATGATCCGTATAATTATCAAATTAGCAAATGTGACTGCCTATCTTCATTCCTACGCGGTATATAAAGCTACTTCTGTATATAAAACAAAAAGTGCACAGCCCCTTATGCGGACTTATGCATCGAGTCTGGACCCTTGGCATACATTTATTGTTTAACTCTGTTCAGTTTGTAAGTTCAAACGATTCAATATTAATTGTCTATATCGTTGTTTGGACCAGGCGTGCATGAATGTAACATAAAACGCAGCTTGACTCTTTAATATCTCATAGATGCAAGTCACTAGCAAGTTCTATATCCCTCTAATATCTATCACTCAATGAATGATATAGGATCCATTACTCTTTCATTGTTGTCTCAATCCGACGAATAATCTTCGCTGGGTTGCCAACAGCCACATGGAAGGCAGGCACATCCTGAAGCTAAAGTCAGCAAATAGTATAATCAATGACAATATAGCATACCTTAGTGACCACACTTCCAGCTCCAATAGTCACACCTCTACCAATAGTGACGCCAGGAAGGACAATCACATTCCCACCGAGCCAGCAGTCCTCCCCGATAACAATTGGCTTGCCCGTCTCAGGGCCTTCAGTGCCATTGCGTAGGGCAGGATCAAGGGGATGAGTCCCAGAGAATAAATTAACATTAGGACCGAACAAAGTACGAGCCCCGACTGTGATAGGACATGTGTCAATGAAGACACAGTTGGAATTGACGAAGACACCCGCTCCAAGCTTGACGTTGAACCCGTAGTCCATCTTGACAGGAGTTTCAACCCAGGGCTCCTCGTCGAAAAGAGCATCATCAGCTGCGGGGTCATCTAGTTTTGGTGGTAGAGGGGTCTTGTCTTCGGTAATACTATATAATGATTTAGCATATCTTTACAGAACCCATTTAGCTTGACTTACTCTCTCCACATTTCAACCAGACGCCGACGAGATACCTCGTCCGACTTATTGAATCGATTACAAGCCTGCTTACAGCGTGAACGAGCAGCGATTAGGTCTGGCGTGAACGCTCGGTATAGTTCCCCGCGAAGCATCTTTTCTTTCTCGGTAGGCTGCGACATGACGGTCATAGTTATCGGCAAAAAATGTAGAGAAATAACAAGTTGTCATCTCCAGACATAGAAGTTGGCCCCCTAAAGCTAAGGCCATGGGGGGGGGGGCCGTAATGTCGGGGAAAAGGTCCACCGATGCAAAACAATACAACTCTTCAGATTGTTCTCAAGACAATGAAAAACCAACAGCCACTTACCAACACCCACTATTTAAATCCAACAAATCCCCTCGCAATGCCCCGATCCTCAACTTAAAGAAATTCTTTCTCTTTCCTCCTCAACCCCTCATTTCTTTGACAATGTTCTCCAACGCAACAACCTCCGGCGCAGAGCCAAACAAAGCGAAGTTCACGCACATCTCCAGACCATTAGTCCACAACCGCACCAGCAGCAATTCATCCTCCTCCTCCGGCTCAACCGATGGCTCCGACCCCGATGTTCCAATCTACCCGGACGGCAAGATGTCACTCGCCGGGATCTCGCTCCGCGCAATGCTCCTAGGCACCAGCTTTGGACTATCAGCAAGCATGGCGTTGTTCCTAGGCACCGTGTATCCAACTCCACTCTGGCGCATACCCTTCTTCGTCGCTTCGCTGAGCCTGTTCCACTTCCTGGAGTTTTACGTGACAGCGCAATACAACACGCGACATGCGACTGTCTCTGCGTTCCTGCTTTCATCGAACGGATGGGCATATAATGTTGCGCATGGGTCTGCCATTGTGGAGTGCCTTGTGTCGAACGTTTTCTGGCCGGGGCAAACCGCTGTTGGACGGATGCTCACTGTGGCGGAACCGCTTTTCGGAAGTTCGGTCTCGCTGGTGGTTGTCGGAGGCTTTGTGCTCCTCTTGATCGGACAGGTTATTCGGACTATCGCTATGGCGCAGGCTGCTAGTAACTTCAACCACCATGTGCAGAGTCAGCATCAGGAGGGTCATGTCTTGGTCAATACTGGTCTTTATCGGTATCTGCGACATCCCAGCTACTTCGGATTCTTTTGGTGGGGGTTGGGAACACAGCTTGTACTAGGCAATATGGTTTGCTTCGTTGGATATGCCCTAGTGTTGTGGCGCTTCTTCTCGAGCCGAATTAAGCGTAAGTTATCTGTCGGATTTTCTATGTTGGAATTCAAGCTAATAGAGTTATGTGACTACAGGTGAAGAAGCTTACTTGATCTCCTTCTTTGGCGATGAGTATGTTCAGTACAGAAAAGCTACCCCAGTAGGTATCCCTGGAATTTAGTTGCAAAGCATTGTGGTAAAACATGGCAAATTGAACAAAGAAACTACTTTATGTTGAAAGTTTATAGAGCTCTTGATCGATTAGAAGTCTGGTATATGGTATAAGGTGTGAGCACACTCGTAGGCGTAGTCGTCTCTATCTAAGCTATTTACATTGGCATCATTATAGCTTACTTTCAGGCGCGACTCCTCCAACCGCGCCACTCATGTAAGGTCCACTCTCGTCTGACTCGCCCGGAGCAGTCTCCGCGCCGAAGAGAACAAGCTCACGCCCACCTTCAGTGCTCCACCATGTAACACAGCAGTGAGATCGATCAACATCCATCTCGCCGCCGGCAAGGGCTTCCCAGAAACGCTCGATGCAAGTGTGTCGCATATTGCGGTCAGAAATTGCGTTGATCAGTTGTGCTGCTAAAGGGAGCCATTCTTTCAGATCATCGACTCGGAGGAATGAAAGGGAATCGATGAGAGCAAGGGTCAGGACAGCCTGTTCAGAGACAGGTGGACTCTGGCTCATGTCTGGATTTGGGCCCTGCGGAGGGAGCGGCGTAGAGGAAGCGTTCAAAGCACGGTCATGAACAACTTCCAGCAAGGTAGAGGGAAGAAGTGGCTGACTATTTGCTAGGGGAGAAGGAGGCGCTGTTATTTGGATGACAGTCTTGAAAGCAAGACGGAATTGGCGTGCGGAAAGGTTATTGGGGAAAACCTGTAGATGGTTAAAACTTACTGTCGTGTAATAGAAGGGATGGAACTCACGGCAAAAAGATTTTCGATATAGAAAGGCAGGTGTTTGGCAGCTAGTTCCGAGTTGTGAGGAATAGCGAAGACAACAAGCACCAGGCTGTGAGCAGCTTCGAAAATCTCCAACAGGAGACTGTTAGCACCGGCTGCAAGATATGGGAAAGCGGCGGACAATAATAGTTCCTCGTTCGTTTCTGAGGATAGGACAAGAGGGAAATGCTCTGCCACGTTCAAGAAGAAAAGATCCAGGCACCGTTCAACTGGGTGAACAGGAATCTGACCTATATCGCTTGGCTTAATGCTTCGCAGGAAGTTCTCGGCAAGAACGGGGTATTGTGAAAGGATGTCTATGGCTGCCAATAGCACGAATGTCTGCTGCGAGGATGCATTCTGTCCAAGCCGAGACGAGATGAAATACATGTTGCGAAGGATGTGGAGGCACTGCATAGATAGGTATGGGGCACCTGGAAGTGTTAGAGTTGATATAAAGAAAATATCACGGCTGGTCTGCAACTTACTACTGCTTGCAGCAAGAGCTGGGTCATTGATAGTTCTCCCCAGCACAGCTCGCAGGGTAATAACCACCGAATATAAGCAATTTCGGAGCATCTTCCAGAGGGCAGGAATGGTGATTTCCCTGGACTCAGCGTCTAGGAACTCTGCTTCTTCTGCAACATCAATCTCAGATAATTTATTCTGCCGCCATTGAACCATGAGCGTCCGGACGAAGCCCGCCACGTAATCAACAGTCTGTGCAACAATTCTCGGATCCCGAACATTGTCAACAGAATGCGCGATAAGGCGAGACAGAGGCCCTAAAGTGGACACAAGTGGGCGAGCAGCTACTGCCGAGACAATACCAAACGTGGGGGAATTGGCTGACCAGCGGAACTGCTTGCCGGGAGCCTCAACAACATCTTGATCAATGGATCCCAAGAAATAGCCACCCTCAAGGCCCTCCGAAGACAAGTATGCCGACTGAATCATCGCCGGAAGCAATCGATCATAATCCAGCTTGCTTCTCTGGAGATCTGACAGAAGTTCAAAAGTGTAGTTCAAGACCATAGTGATGCACTGTCCATCAACCCCAGTCTCAGTACCGAGCTCCTCCACCGCTAATTGCACCGCTCTCGCAAGTGCAGATTCGAGTTTAACCCTAATATGCTGTGGTAAGCCCCGTCGGTTTTGTCCCTCGAATCCCATCAAGATCCCGCCCAGCAGAAGAGTATGCCTCCACCGCGGGGACTTATCATCGGCGCCCTCGGCAACAGCCTTGACCCACGCCTCGTATTCAATCTTTCTATTGCGGCCATAGGGTATCCGAGGTTCGTCGTTATTATCATTCTGCAAGACAGCGATGGCGGCGGTGTTGAACACACTAAGGATCTTGCGACATGATTGGAGATCGACAGGTTGGCTCCAGAGTGAAGGCGCAGTGAGAAGTTGTGACGAAAGGAGTGTCAGATTCAGGGGATTCCCCAGCATTGATAGGAAACTAGTAGCTGTGGGAAGAAGACTGGATTGGCTTGTTAGCCTAACAATGACGTTCCAAGGTCGGATTGGGGGGATGTGGCACTTACGAAGCGGCATCTTGAAAGCTGGAAGTCGCCTGCAGCGACCGCAGTAGCGTTGCCAGAGATCTTTCCGTGGCCATTTCAAGTCTAGAGTTGATAGGGATGCTCCCAGACAAGAGGCTCTACATTGCACAGGGAGTGTGATGATCAACCGCGGAGAAGCCGAGGTCCGGGGTCCAGAGCCAAATACGGGCGTCCACCCAAAATCGACCAATAAGATGTAGCCAAACAATGCAAACAAGCATCGTCATCTCCGAGTGTCTCCAGACTTGCCTTTTTTTGATACGCGTGCAACACATATGGTCAAAGTGGTTGTCCCCTATTCACGGGTCATGTTTCGATGATTGATATTTGCTGCAGCTGAACCGGCGCAGCTACCTCGCCATGGCCAACAACCGCGTTCCGATTAACTACGAAGTACCTTCCTTCCCGTCATTATACGATCCCCTGCCAGCGCATCATCAACAAGCATACTACTTATACTACACGAAGGACATATGGCGTTTCACCCTTTTCTGGACACTATTATTCTACGCTGCGACACATCTCACTGTTTCTGGATGCGCGGTATTGACTCATTTCCGTAACTGGAACGTGATATGGATTGTGCCGTTGGTGTACAGTATTATTGCAGGTCTGGAGGGTCTTTTAGCGGGGAGTATAGTTGGAGTTGTGTAAGTGGATTACTTGAGACTGGGCCTGGTCGTAATGGTTAGGTAGCTGACTCTTCTATGGTCAATAGCCTCGGCGCAGTCTATGAGGCAGGCAATTTCAGGATGTCGACTTGGCTACCAATGGTATGGGGTGGTGTCAATGTGATGGTTCTTATAGTCACCAGCTTTCCTATGCAAGGTGGCCTGTGAATGGTATCCCAGCTGCTACTACATTCGACCATTCTATTCGCAGGATACAACAATTGTCTAGTTACGTGATCGGCAGCTACGGGTGTGGAATATGTCCAACCAACCTACGCAAACAGACTTGTCGACAAAGAATCAGAATTCGAAATACCTGAAAATTTCTTATGATACAAATGGGATCTGATGTCTCAAATAACGCCGTCGCCCCGCATCAAAGTAGTCATGCTATGTCCTTTGCGCCAATGCCAAGTCGATTCAACGTGCATCTTGAATCCGATGTCCGTTTTTCATCACTGTCTCCGATTCCCATCTGGCATACCACCACCTTGCAACCCAGGCAAGCCACCAAATCCACCAGGGAATCCAGGGTTGTTCGCCAAAGCTTGGAGGTTGAAATTATGTGGCATGGGGAAACCCTGGAGTTGTTTCTGCAACTGTGCGAGGTCCATATTCATAGGCGGTGTTCCGGTCATACCCTGTGGCATGGGGAACCCATGCATTCCTGGTGTGGGGGTGCTCGACTGCGATGGAGGGTGAGTGGACATGAGTGCAGCCAAACGTTCTGGATTCATCCCACCCATAGCGGCGCCATCCATTCCTGGCTGCCGAGGCTGAGCACTGCCAATACCAGGTAGTAGGCCTGGAGCGTCGGGCTGGGAGCCGGCCGGCGGCGCACTTTGAATACCCGGCAGAGCAGGGCCACCTGGTCGTCGTTGATCGACCAGGCTGTCGGCTTCATCCTGCATTTCTTGCTCCTCGTCCTCGCGCATTTGCTTCCGGCCAAACCCGCGGTTCCATGTCCCTTGGGCTTCTGCGGCCTCTTCGCCGATGTGGAATCGGTCTTTCATATAGCTAGTCTCGCCGGGCCGAGTCCGCGACCAGAATCGAGTGAAATTATCCTTAGATCCAGAAGCCAAGATATGGCCCAGTGGATGCCAGTCTAGTGACCAAATTGTAGCGCCGTGTGCGTACTGTATCTTATGAGCCGGATAAATTACCTGCGGCGGAGTATTAGCCGGGTCCGGGCTGTCGTACGGTGCCACGGTGGGAATCTGGCCGGCTGGCAGGTGAGGTTCATCAAGTAGATAATGATAGAGAGAACCATCCTCGGCACCAGTCGAGATAAGGTTACTGTGAATTGGGTGCCATGTCAAAGACGAAACCGGCTTCTCATGGCCTCGCAAAATGCAAATATCGCGCATCATCCGCAAATCAAATACCCTCGCAGTCTGGTCTCGTGACGAAGTAGCAAGGAGGTTGCTGTTCACACGCGAGAATCGCGTCGATGTTACAGTGTTTTTGTGACTGTGGAGGGTCGTCAAGCAGCGACCAGTGCGTGGATCCCAGAACTTCACCTGATGATCCTTCGATCCAGAAACAATCAGACCCTTGGTCGGGTGCCAGTCGCAAGACTTGACATCCCAATTGTGTCCGGTCAGTGTCGCGTCGGCCGTTCGGGTTGCAAAGTCGAAGATTTTGAGGGTTGTGTCATCAGATGCTGAAAGAAACTTGGTATCACTGGGTGCCCAGGCCAGATCGCGGACTGCGTCGTGGTGCGCGTCATCGATTGTCTCGACGTTGTTGAAGTTTGGTCGCCAGTATTTGATATCACCTCTTTGTCCACCGGAGACCAGCCAATCCTGGCTATGGGCCCATGCCAAGGATGTGACACCAGCCTGTATTTGATCGTAGTGTGCCTGCACCAAGAGAACATTTCAGATTAGCAAGGGCGCCATTCGCAGAAGCTGTAAATACGCACATCCATAACCGTCTCGAAATTGAACGCCGTTCCATTCCAAAGCATAAACTCTCCCGTATGACCGCCGGTCAACAGCCGCCTTCCCTCGGGAGTCCATCGCACTACGACAATGGGTTTCTTTGATTTTCCGATTGATTGGTGAAGGTGTCGCACGGGGATTGTATCGACAGCAGAATGAGGCCGCGCCATCGGGGGAAGAACCTATCGCAAGTCAGTCTCTTTGTCAGGTCAAAGTAGTTCAAGCGATACATACATCGACTGCAAAGCTGGGACTCGGTCGTTCCGTCTCCAGTCGGTATCCTCCTTTGTATCTCGGTTGTCGTGTTCGCATCCATTGTACCATTGAAGAGCCATAATCCGTGACGAGACCTGAGCAACGGTTAGCAGTCAGGCTATGGACAAGCAGAAGCTCAATCAAAATCACTTCGGATCAAGCAAACATACGTGGTCTGCGAGGTCCGACTGGCCCATCGAAATTCTTTCCAAATCGCCCTGGGCCATCACCTCCATTGTCGTCGTAGTAGGTCATCGCGACCGGGATGAAAAGATGTACAGGATCAAGGCTGTCGGTTGGCGAACATGAGGATCAAAGAGAAGTTTCAACTGATATATTGAAAAAGAAGCTAAAAAAGAACAAAAAGATGCGGAGAGAGTCGAAGCTCTTCGGAGGGCAGGATCCGTCCCTTTGATCACCTGTGACGCTGATTGGCCCCTACGGGTTTTATCTGCAAGCTTGCGCTATGTCTCCCCCCGCCAATGTCACAGTACTAAATCAATCTTGTTTCTGGTCTTTTTGTATTTCTCTTCTCTTCGCCTATCTGCTCTAATTGTGCGTTCTAGTTTTCGTGTTGCTCTCTGTCGGTGCTCCGGTTTCATCGGAGCTCGACTTAAAGTAGGCCCTTCCATCTCTCATACTGCCTTCGCGGAGCTGTTAAGATGGCTCGCACTGGAGCAATTAACGCTCGCGAGGAATCACTCAAGTCAACGAACGGTGCCGTCCAGAATGAAACAGAGGTCTCTCTACCATCAACTTCAACTCGAAAGAGACGCAGTAAATATCGCCATGTAGCTGCATATCACTCAGAAGCTCGCCCTTCCAGCCTCAGTCGAGAGGCTGACGTGCTCCCCAACTTTCTGGGTTTTCGAAATCTCATGGTTTTGGTACTTGGTAGGGTCGCTGAGAAATTGTACCTTTGTATGTGGAGCTAATGTTCCGACAGTGGCGATGAACCTGCGATTGATTATTGAGAACTTCATGAAAGTGAGAAAAGCTATTCAATTACTGTCTCGAGTTACCAACTAATAAGTACATAGTATGGCGTGTTAATATGTATCAAATGTCATGACTATCGCAGGCAAGACGTTGTTCTCGGGTCTATATTATTTGCCTCGGTTCCATGTCATTTGCTCGTGGCATACATCATTGAGCTTTCAGCCGCTACTGCAGCCAAGCAAGCAGTGGGTCGCCAAAAGAAGACAGAAAAAGAAAAAGAGCACGACCAGAAGGTCTTCCAGTCTACATGGCCGTACACTGCGTTCCTGCACACGCTTAATGCTACGCTATGCCTCACAGTAACTAGCTTCGTGGTATATTTCTACATCCATCATCCGGGCATTGGGACAATATGCGAGTTGCATGCCATCATCGTGTGGTTAAAAAATTGCTCTTATGCCTTCACAAACCGTGACCTCCGTCTCGCTCTACTCAATCCCTCTGCAGACCCTGGCTTGCCCGAAATCTACTCCTCATGCCCCTACCCCAGGAATATTACCATGAATAACCTGGCATACTTCTGGCTGGCACCTACACTGGTATATCAGCCTGTTTATCCGCGCACCGCATCCATCCGGTGGTCATTTGTTGCAAAGCGCCTTGCAGAGTTCGTGGTCCTAGCAGTGTTCATCTGGCTTCTGTCTGCGCAGTATGCCGCACCGGTGTTGCGGAACTCGATTGATAAGATCGCAGTAATGGACATCGCCTCCATATTGGAGCGGGTTATGAAGCTGTCCACAATCTCGTTGATCATTTGGCTTGCAGGCTTCTTTGCGTTGTTTCAAGCACTTTTGAACGCTTTGGCAGAAGTCATGCAGTTTGGAGATCGCGAATTCTACACCGACTGGTGGAACAGCTCCAGTCTGGGTGGTTATTGGCGATCTTGGAACCGGCCTGTCTACCTATTCATGAAGAGACATGTCTACTCACCGCTGGTGGGTCGTGGATGGAGCCCTCTGGCTGCGAGTGGAATGGTTTTCACACTCTCCGCGATTCTTCACGAAATGCTGGTTGGCATTCCGACGCATAATTTCATCGGTACGTATTTCGCTCTCTAATCACAGCTCAGACGCTAATTAAGTCCAGGTGTCGCGTTTTTTGGAATGATGTTCCAGCTGCCATTAATTAGCCTCACTGCACCGTTAGAGAAAATGCGCGGGCCCGAAGGCAGGGTCATTGGAAACTGCATCTTCTGGGTCAGCTTTTGTCTAGTCGGACAACCACTTGGAGCACTTCTGTACTTCTTCGCTTGGCAGGCCAAGTACGGGAGTGTAAGTAGGATGGTGCCGAGCGTGGCATGAATTTTTCAACAGCCATTCTATGTATCCCTCAACATATACTAGGACTCATAGCATCTAGACATTTCTTCGCGAAATGAGAAAGCATCCCTTGCATAACGTCGGATTATGTACTGTTCCAAATAACGAGAGAGAAAAAAAAAAAACAAACAAAGCGTAAGATCTAGAAAGTTCTTTCAATTCATCTTTCAATGCAAAAGGCCAAGTATATCACACTCAGGCCCCCCCGGCACGGCCGAATCGATTGCACCGACGGAAACTCGGAGACTCGACTCCCGAGCTTCCTACCTATAAAGGACCTTTAGCAAACATAAACGATCACATCATTACCCTAGATTCTCTCATCATGGTCGCATTTATTGTTCCTAGCAACTACGGGTAAGTTCCTCAAACTTCTTCTCTGAAATCGGTTAACATTATTTCACAGCGCCGTCATTGGCGTCGCACTCGGCGCCATCCCCGTTTTGGGCTTTATCCATGGTGCTATCACTGGTAACATGCGCAAGGAGGCTAAGGTGCCCTACCCTCACAGCTATGCCTCCATGGAGCTATGCAAGGAAAACGTGCGTCCAATTCCCCCGTCTATCACTCGGCCTTCCTAAGGCCCCGTATTCAATGGAAACATACTTCCTATAAACACCAAATCGCACTTACTAAACTAGTTATAGGCCAAGGCTGAGAAGTTCAATTGCGCCCAGCGCGCTCACACCAACTTCCTCGAGAATGCCTCGCAGACAATGCTTTTCACCCTAGTCGCTGGCCTGAAGTACCCAGAGTGGGCTGCTGGTTTGGGTGCTCTGTGGGTTTTCTTCCGCGCTCTATTCCTTTATGGCTATGTGTACTCGGACAAGCCACAGGGCAAGGGCCGCCTGATGGGTGGGTTCTTCTGGTTTGTGCAGGGTGCTCTCTGGGGATTGAGTGTTTTCGGAGTTGGAAAGGAACTGCTTTGAATCTTGTAATAACCTGAAGTGTATAATCCTCTAAATCACTTTCAAATCTAAGATTTATGTATTTCTATACCGAATGCAAATATTGCAGAGCCCGCCACAGATATAGCCTTTACCAGTGGGGTCCGCTGTGGCAGAAAAAGTTCCCCGATGGTTCTCTCGAACTTCGACATTATTTCTACGTTTGAACCTCGAAAGACAATTGTATTCTGGGACATTTGTCATTTCCAACCCCTGAGGTCATTCAATTTCCTCTTGAAACGCCAAAAACTCGTACCAAATACACATCTCTTCGGCCCCGCCATGTCGTCCAAGTCGCAATTGACCTACAGCGCCCGCGCTCAATCGCACCCCAATCCCCTCGCGCGCAAACTTTTCCAAGTCGCCGAAGAGAAGAAGAGCAATGTCACCGTTTCCGCTGACGTGACCACGACAAAGGAGCTCCTGGAGCTTGCCGACCGTAAGTGAACGCAACATACCCCACCCCTCCAAACAGCCCACTAACCCATCTACAGGCCTTGGCCCCTACATCGCCGTGATCAAAACACACATCGACATCCTCTCCGACTTCAGCCAAGCAACAATTGATGGCCTGAATGCCCTAGCCCAAAAGCACAACTTCCTCATCTTCGAAGACCGCAAATTCATCGACATCGGCAACACAGTCCAGAAACAATACCACAATGGCACCCTCCGCATCTCCGAATGGGCCCACATAATCAACTGCTCCGTCCTACCCGGCGAGGGTATCGTTGAGGCCCTTGCGCAAACTGCCCAAGCCACTGACTTCCCCTATGGCTCCGAGCGCGGCCTCCTCATCCTCGCCGAGATGACCTCGAAGGGATCCCTCGCAACAGGCGCATACACCTCTGCCTCTGTTGATATCGCCCGTAAGTACCCCAGCTTCGTCCTAGGTTTTGTCTCGACCCGGTCGCTGGGCGAAGTCGAGTCTATCGAGGCACCCGCACAGGGCGAGGACTTCGTCGTCTTCACCACCGGCGTCAACCTCTCTTCTAAGGGCGATAAGCTCGGTCAGCAGTACCAGACACCCCAGTCGGCTATTGGCCGTGGTGCGGACTTTATTATCTCTGGTCGTGGTATTTATGCCGCTGCGGACCCTGTTGAGGCCGTTAAGCAATACCAGCAGCAGGGCTGGGAGGCGTATCTGGCCCGCGTGGGTGCGCAATAGAACGTGAAATAGTCCCCGTTCTATTATAGTTGCATGCGTGATGCATAATGAAAATATATTTGATGGCATGCTATATAAACCTTTTTGCAGCTTGGTGCTTTCTTACATGGTTGTTCACGAGTCTCTCCAGGACTTATACAAGGTAAGGCGTTTCCCGCATGTACCAGACGATGCAAGGGCAAGGTTAAGTCCGAGCATGACACGCAAGTGGTCTGCATGCAGCATTTTTCACGTCTTCGAATGAGATCAAAAGCGAATATCTGCGAATATTTGGAGTAGCTTTGATAAGAAAGTCTTCTCCAAACTCGGGATATATCCGCGGACAATAGATAAGACTAACAGTGTACTTTTGCTTCAACTTTGTCGGAAGCATCTCCGAAGTGTCAGCATCTCGATAATGCCTGTTCATTGCATGGAGTAGTATCCTGGTAGATATAGTTCACGTAATTCATCCGATCTACCAATTCCACCCTACACCAAGTATCTAGCCCTATATTGAAAACACCTTTACTAAACACGAAAGACGAGAATAATTTCTACGCCGATCATCCATTCCCCTCAAACCCCCCCTCTCTTGGCCATCCAATGAGATAGATCAAAAACCGCCAACCCCAGACAAATCAGCTTATCATGAAGAGAGACCCACAATATACTTGCCGAGCTGCATTTACTGCGTTGCTTGATAGGACCGTTAGGAAGATTCCTCCCCCAGATAACGCTATGTGAAGCGACGGTTTTCCTCAGCGGCACAGGGTACAGGGATATAGTAGCCTACTTAGTATTAAGTCCTAAGATCGTCCTACAAAGCTACCGGACGTGCGGAATTCTTGCCGTGCATTTTTACCTTATTTAGCTGTGCCCGCCCGGTTTTTCTTTTGACCTCTTTCTATACATTGTCTCGGTATCACCTATAGTTGCACGCTAATTCGAGGAGAGCTCAATTCTGTTCTGGGTGGCCTTTGATCTTAATTACTCTACTTTTTCCGCTCTAACCTAACCGATACCATGGGCTCAGAGGAGAAGGATATCGGCATTTCCTCTGGTGTGGAAACCAACACCGACATGAGCAAGATAAAACATGTCGACTCCACCATAGAGAAGCATGCACACGATGCCGATGAGGCTATGAAGGTCTTTGACGGTCTTCATGGCGAAACTATCGAGCTAGACGAGGCCACAAATCGCCGCTTGTTAAAGATTATTGATTGGCATATGATGCCTATCATGTGTTTGGTCTATGGCATGAATTATCTTGATAGTATGTGCATGTCTCTCCTGGTGTTTCCAAAGCAGGGCAAGAGAGGGTTTTGTTTAATGCTTTGTTCTGTTGGGTTGAACCCCGAAGTGTTAATCTGTGATCCGATGTATAGAAACGACTCTCTCCTATGCTAGTGTTATGGGTCTCAAGAAGGATCTGAATCTCAAGGGAGACCAGTATCAGTGGCTTGGGAGTTTGTTCTACTTTGGTATGTCTCTGCTTTTCTTTTGGATTAACTCTGGGGCACACCTAATATCTCTGCATAGGCTATCTCGCTTGGGAATACCCGACCAACCGCCTCCTCCAGCGCCTCCCACTAGGAAAATATTCTGCGGCCTGTATATTAATCTGGGGATTGATCCTTAGTTGTTTTGCCGCTGTCAGCAACTACTCCGGTGCTATCGCCATCCGCTTTATGCTCGGAGTGTTCGAAGCCGCTGTGACACCAGGTTTTGCACTTTTGACTTCCCAGGTACAACTTTCTTACCCCAAACCAATATTATAAGCTATATACAATGAAGCTAACATCCCAAACAGTGGTACACAAAACAAGAACAAGGCAGCCGCGTTAACATCTGGTTCAGCTTCAACGGCGTAGGCCAAATCTTCGGCGGAGTAGTCGCCTACGGCATCGCCGTCGGTGCCGAAAAGCACGGGTCCTCTATCGATCCATGGAAGATTATTTTCCTCGTCACTGGTCTCCTCACCATCTGCTTGGGATTGGTTTTCCTCTGGATTGTACCTGACAACCAACTCAATGCACGGTGGTTAAATGAAGAAGATCGGGTCCTGGCTGTTGCCCGTGTAAGGGTCAACCAGCAAGGCATTGGGAATAAGAACTTCAAATTGTATCAGGTCAAAGAAGCGCTTTTGGACCCGATGACATGGGCTTTCTTCTTTTATGCTTTGATTGCTGATATTCCGAATGGGGGTATTACCAATTTCTTCAATCAGTTGGTATGTGGCCATATAAAGACTTGAATATTCCATGCTGATCAAGTCTAGATTGCAAGCTTCGGATATACTGATCAAGAGAGTCTAATTCTGGGTATCCCTGGCGGCGCAGTGGAAATTATTGCGCTATTGCTCAATGGCTATGTCGGACAAATCACCGGTCAACGTGTTCTGGCCAGTTTGGGTGGGCTCGTCGCTTCAATTGTGGGGATGTTGCTCATTGTCGCTCTACCCCTATCAAACAATGTTGGTCGTTTGATTGGTTACTACCTCACACAAGCCAGCCCGACACCTTTCGTGGCATTACTATCGCTGATTTCTTCTAATGTCGCGGGATATACTAAGAAGACAACAGTGGCAGCTTTATATTTGATTGGATATTGTGCCGGAAATATTATCGGTAAGCAAAAATTCCAAAAGCAAAAAAAGAAGCGCTAACACCACCAAGGCCCACAAACCTTCCGTCCACAGGACGCTCCCCGCTATGTCTCCGCTGAAGTGACAATTATCGTTTGCTGGGGTGTCTGTTTATTCCTGTTGGTCGGTGTGTGGATGTGGTATCGCCGTGAGAATGCGAAGAAGCTCCTTTTCACTGCTCGACCAGAGTATGTGAGACTTGAGAATCAAGAGTGAGTGGCGTCTACTACTTAAACTAACATTTTGCTAACATTTGCAGATGGCTTGATTTAACAGATCGGGAGAATCCTGAATTCATTTATTCTCTTTAATCTCTTTAAATTTGAAGAGTGAGACAATTTCAAGTTTTTATTATACAAAATCCTTTTTTTATATTTTTATGTAGATCTCTCGTTGAGACTAGGGTTCCCAACACTAAATATGCATACACCTAGAGGTTAGCGTACTTATCTTCCACAGTTCTAATATCTACTATATTCATAGATTTTGTAGATGTATGTTGTAAATAATGTGCTTTTTTATATTAGTATCTATACATAAAATACCCTGACCTATACCCCATACTTACAATAAAACCCCTGCATTCGCAACTGCAGGCGCCTATATGACGATCATGGCCAGACACTCTCCTAGAACCCCCCACTCTGCTAAAATAGATGAGAAGCGGTGTGAACATAAATAAAAGGAAAGAGATTCGCTTCATTTTACTTATTTTTTTTTTCTGTATATTTCTTATATTTCTTATATTTCTTTGGTTCAAGATGGAGAGTTGACCTCTTTTAATAACCCTAATCTTTTTATACATCAACATCTGATCAGGGCACCTGCCTATATTTGCCTATGATCGAGACTTCCCGCTGACGGGAAATGGCCTCCGTCACATGCCTGGCCATTCAGCCATCTCTGGATATTTCAAAGTGTGAACCTGTCGTCACAGAGCTCAAAGGATGCGATTCACCAATATACCCATCTGAGATGGCCAAGGTGAAACGAATCGATCCACCGGGAAATGTGCCCAAATCTTCATCTCGTCGAGAATCGCAAACATCGACTAGTTCAAGTCACCCTCGCTCGGCATCCCGCAGCACTGTGCGATCGCGACCCAATAGCCGTCGTAGTTCCTTCCATTCACCGCGCCGGGCTGTGCCCAACGCTGCCATCGTGCCTGTCACATCACCTCGCACTTCTACGACTTCTACGCAAGACAAGCGAGAGTCACTACTCGCGCTACACCGGGAGTCATGTCGTCTGTTCCAAGGCGATGGATCGAACAGATCCTCGATCGAGACAAGACCTTCTCTGCGCCGGACAGCATCAACTACATATAGATCCCAGCGAGAGGGTCGTATATCAACAGAGAAAGGGAGCTCAGAACCTTCCTCTCCTGTTGCACTTTCATATTCCAGCTTCCGCTTTGAGCCTGAGTCTACTTCAGCTCCACCGAGGAGTGCACCACACTTCGTCACATCAAGAGATCGATCAAATACCTTGCCCAGCCGCCACCACCACAGTCCCTCATCCTCATCCATTCATGTCCCGGCGACAGTAATGGAATGGACCTCACCCGATACCCGGCGGCGCGAGTATGAGAAAATCGACCGGGCAAGCAGTGGTGTCCGAGGGTTCTGGCGTCGCGTTGCACCTCGCTGCTTCCAAACTCGCGACTCACGCACCCCGTTCTTCGAGGAAGGCAAATCCGAGCGCGAAGGCAGTGTACGACGGTTCCGCATGGATCTCCCTGAAGATGAAGAATTACCTTCCCCTCGAGGAAAGCCACAGGTCCAGGTCTTGGATCTCCAGGGCAAGAACACTTCCAACTCGAATTCAAATCCATCGGATGGCGCTCGAAGACGGTGGGGGTGTCTTCGTTCAAAGTCTTCTACTCTTCCTAATGCCTAAATTCTTGGTCCTGATTTTGATTCTCAGCATTTATCATTACTCACAGAGCCTAGCACAGGTGCTGCTCGCAAAACTACACTGCCTGCTTTTCCTATGATACCATGATCCCCAAGTGATGATCCGCATTTGCATTCAGTGGTCCCATTCCACATGTCCCTTCTTGGCGGGAATATCACCCTCTGGCCTATTCTTATCTCCAGTCCCTTTTGCATTTTTTGCATTGCTGTCTTTTTGTTTGACTGAGATACCCTTATTATTATTGGCACACTGTACATAGCCTACGGTACATACACATTTCGGCTCTAGTGATGCTATCTTTTGGCATAATCAACTGATTTCCATACATTATACAAGTCGAGTCTTCGAATAGAAGAAAACTTCAAAAATAGTCAGAAACAACTGCCCCTCCTGCTACCCCTCCTAGAACGGGAGAGTAAACCAACCAGGAACACTTTAATTAATTGCCAGCCATTTGCCTTAACATGCCGGTCTATACAGACGCCTATTCGTTGGAGATGTGCACATGACCGATCAGCAGTTTGAATTCCTGCGCGAACTTTAAGTCACCTTTTTACGAGGTCATTCGGAATATTTGAAAGAAATGTCTTTTTATAAAGAACTTCATTGGTAGAACCTCATTGGTTCATTCTGCCTTTCCGGATAATATCTGCTATTTGGTAACAGCCTATGGAAGTGAGAAAATATCCCTTCTGCGGGCTGTATAGAATCATCCATGTGGATAGTAATATAAATAGTAAAAGAGCACCAAGACCGAGGTTCACGTTTGTATAGTCTCTATGGGTCACCCTGCAAAAGCGGTGAAGTGCCCTGCAGTAACCCCAAGTCTAAATGTGTACAGCGCTCTACTCCCCAAATTTCTATATAATATAGGTAGTATTCATATCCATATCGAATTATCAGAATCTTGAACATGAGATATCATTTCATGAAACATCAATACGCCAAACCCAAACAGGCCACAATGCACAAGCGCCGGGTATATCAGAACAAAAACCCAAAATGCTTTTTTTTAATCAATCACAGAAGATCAAAGTCATCCAACTTCTCACGGTAACGCAAGATGTTGCGCTTGATCTTACTGGAATCAACCCAGGTGACGAAGTCCTCCATGTTGCGAGTAACCAAGAAAGCAGGATCATTGACGACTTCAGTACCAACACGGACATGTCCCTGCTCAATGAAAGTAGTAGCCTAGCAAAGTCAGCATTTTATTGCATATACCCATCCCAAACCAAGTCGCAACCTACAGCCTTGATAGTCTCAACCATGCCAGAGCGCACCATGAAAACAGCCAATCGGCGACGGCACAGCGCAGAAACTGTAACCTCGCGCTCGACTCTGGACAGACCGGCGCCCTGCTCACGGGACTGCTTCAGGATTCCCATGCGCCACAGCTTGTCCAATAGCTCGGATTCAAGCTTCTTGCGCAGCGGGTCCGCATCGGGATCTAGTTGGGAGAGCTTGTGGGCAAGCTGGCGCAGAGAACCGCAGAGCGCGTTGTATTTGCGGTAGTCCATTGGGTCTTGGAGGAGGTATCGTTGCCGGATCTCATGTTCGCGGTGGTTGCCGTCCGACTTGTAGTTGTGGAAATCGACCTTCCGAAGAAGTCTGCAAGGAGGTTAGCGTTAGCAATTAATCTTTCGTGGTATCGTGAAGCTTTGAAGATGTTGGGTGTGATCGGGTTGAGATTTCTGCGGGCGGAATTATAGGTGCAGACGTACTTCTTCTCGTGGTGCTTGAGTTCGCGAACCATTGTAGCAGTTGTTTCGGCTAGCTTAGATTAAAACCGAAAAAAAAGATCGAGGGTGACTGGGCAGACCGAGGACGTTTCTCGACAAGAGTCGCTGCGATAACAAAAAAATCAAGGCGGTCGATTTCTGCGGGTAAATCTCCATACACCGCCCGCCTTCCCCCCAACATCTCTCCACGGCTAATTCATATCAACATTGGCTAGTTCGAATTCGCAACATGGAGGATACAGCTAATACGCCAAGTAAAATGACAGGTCGCCCTCGGGTAGACCTCGAGCCGTACAAGGCCGAAATTATCGGCTTGTTCGAAAAGAAAATGAAGAGTGACGACATTTGCAAGCACCTGAAGCGGCAACATGATATTCAGATCTCGTCGCGTACTCTGTCCAAGCGCCTACAGCTGTGGGGAGTTAAGAAAAAGATGGAAAACAATTCCTCCAATGTAGAGCTGCACGCTCGCATCAAAAACCTTTTCTTCGACGTAGGTCTAACCGACCAAGAGATCGTCACCGTTCTACACGACGAGGGCTACGATGTCTCTCACCGTACGCTCCGCAGACTCCGTCACCAGCTCGGCATTCGCCTACGACTTGATTCGCCTACACAGCAACAAGCACAGGTTCAGGAAATCCTCGATGCCCTGACCGAGGAGATGGACAAGGGGACCATTGAGGGATATGGAAAGGAACTATTGCACAACCACTTCCGAAGCAAGGGGTACGTCTTTGCCCGAGACCGTCTCTACAGCGTTTACCGCATGCTGCGCCCAGACACAGTAGAACGCCGCACGAGCGACGTACCCCGGCGTCCTCCCCCGCCAAAGATTCTAGCCGGGCCTAATCTGACCTGGCATGTGAATGGGTACTCAAAGCTAGCCAATTTCGGGTTCCGCATTCATGCCGAGCTAGATGCGTATTCCCGATATGTCCTCTGGATCCATGTTGGCGTGGATGCGCACGCGGCTGTAGGCGTTCTCAAAAACCATCTTGAGACTGTTGCTTCTAAAAACCGGCAACCACGCACCCTTCGATCTGACCTTGAGTCGGAAGTTCCTCTTCTAGCTGATGCTCACTTTGCGCTCCGACGCGCGACTGAGCCGGATGTCCAGCGTGAGCAGTGCTGTGCACCTGGACGAGCTGCAGACACCCACCGGATTGAATCCTGGTGGGCCCAGCTTGCTAAATCTGTAGTAACACTATACCATGTTAGTCAAATCTTATCCTTCACAGGTTCTCCTACATCCAATCAAAGAATACTAACCTCGACCAGAACTATTTCCGTGGACTTCACAACGAAGGCCTCTTCTCATCAACAGTAATCCCCGAACAAGTCGCCCTCCTCGCAATCTACATGCCCACTCTCCGCTCCCATATCAAATCATACGTCCAAACTTGGAACATGCACAACATTCGCAAACAAACAGACCACCCAGAGCGCACCCCTGGAAAACCCTATATGAACTACCACCATCCACCCAAAGGCGTAGAGAACTTCGGCCTCGCAGCCGACGTCCCGACGCTGCAGCTCCTGCAACAAAATCACGTCGACTACGACACAGAGCAATATCTACCACCAGACACCTTGCAATGGTGTGAGGCGCAACTCCAGCAGCTGGGCTTCGACCCTCGTAAACCGCCTGCACGGATGCCTGGTGACCTCCAGCCGTTCCGCTCGGTTTACTTGGCCTTGCGCGAGCGTGCGTGGCACCATGAGCGCTCCGGAGCTGAACCAAAGTTAGCAATTTGTGGAATGGCTAGTCAGGGCTTACGGGGCTATTTCCCCTCTGAGCCTGCCCGGTAGGCGTTGATGAATCTTATGAATAACGAATGGAAGATCAAGGGTTTGAGCTATACGTTAGAGCAAGCATACCATATCTCTACTATTAATCTGTTGGAATGGGTATTTCCATCTCAAAGAATGACGAGGATGAATAAATACGAAGTATCTCATTTACTCTTAATCTTTTTGCATGTAAGGTATGTAGAAAGCCCGTATGTATTCTGTTCTGTTATTCACTAAATTCAGTCTTCAAAATGTGTGAAAAAAAAGAGCCTAGAAAATGCCCTGTGAAAAAAAAAAATATGACAAAAAAGACGCAGCCTGATCGTTTCTCGTCTTGGGTTGTTAGACCCGAGTTCAATGAGCCCAACGCATCAAAATCCAAGCCTAAGAAACTCGCAAAAAGAAAAAAGGCCGCCCTGAAAGATCAAGAACGAGGCCCTTCAATCAAACGACTCCTGCCAACAACCTTCTCACTCAAAGCCCTAATATTCTCCGCTCCCATGATATCAAGCAAAGAAACCTCAGCCTTAAGCTCCTTGACAATCCACGCGCGGAACTCCATAGCAACAAGGGAATCAATACCCCCAAATCCAAAGCGCTGAGCATCGAGTTCCGAACAGGGAACAGCAAGCAGAGAAGCGAGTCTCTCAACAATGCCATCCGACACAACCAACACCGCACTCTCGAAACCCGAAGCCGCCGACAAAAGCGCAGCAGTACTGACAGTCTTCTGCTGAGAAACCTCACTGCTCTTCGCAGTCGCCGTACTATGGAAGTGCGTAAACATCGAGTAATTCAGGTACGTAGGCAGCGGCACGCCGTTCTGGCGACACATCTCCGCAGTTGGCAGACCGAGGACGAGCTGAGAATGTGCCGATATGTTACCGCTGTCTTGCAGGTCTCGGATTAGGAAGTCAACCGTTGTGTGGACTTCTTCTTCGCGGAGAAGCTCGAATAGCGTTGCTGTGTGCGTGCGCATCGAGCTTCGGTTCTCGGCTACCCATCCGACGTTAGATACACTGCCTAGGTTGATGCTGGCTGCACGCATGCCCTTGGCAACACGGTAGGCGGCGAGGGCGTCTTGGAAGGTATTGCCTGCGGCGTAGTTTGATTGTCCGCGATTGCCGAAGATGCCTGCGACTGAGGAGAGCATAATGAAGAAGTCCATATTGTCTGGTAGGACTTTGTGCAGATTCCAGGATCCTTCGACTTTGGGTCTGATGGCTGCTTGCCAGTCTTTGAAGGAGATTCCGGCGAAGGCGCCGTCCTGCAATGTGTTAGCTTCTTGTATATTTAGTAATTTTAGGCGTGGGAACTTACCCTTAAGACCATGGACGCCTGGATACATCCTTTGATAGCAGGTAGTTTGGAGAAGGTCTCTCCGGACAGTTGTTGGAGACTAGAGACATCCGCCACATCGCAAACCAGCGAATGGACCTTGCATCCCATTCTGTCGAGGTCGGCTATCAATTCCATCTTCTCTGGGCTCGACGCTGATGAGCGGGATAGGATAATCAGACTTGTTGCACCCCGAGATGCCATCCATCGTGCTAAACTGCGGCCCAAGCCACCATAGCCACCAGCAAGAACATATGAGGCGCGTGGGTCAAAGTGACATGGCCAGATAGGTCGTGGGACTACAGGGACGATGTTGGATGGATTAGGTGCAATCACAACCTTCGCTGCTTCTCCGCTCTGCACAGCTCGAATTCCTTCTTTGATCTCGGTAAAGTCCATCACAGTTGTTTTTCGGAGTTGACCGATCTTGCCTTCGGAATACAGTCTCAGTGCCTCGGTGAGTAGATGACGGACCAATTTTGGTCGATGTTGAGCCAGCAAAGGAATGTCAACAGTGTGGACGCTCACATTACGAGGCAAAGATGCAAGCTCGACTGTGGTATCAGCTCGCAGATCTGGGTTTGACACATCAACAAATGTCCCAAATGGAGCAAGACATGCCATTGAGCCCCGGAGTGCCTCTCCGCTCAGTGCGTTGAATACGACGTCAACCCCGGTATTATGCGTCCGCCGCATGATACCCTTGACGAAGCTCGAATCTCTCCTAGAGAAGATACAGTCTTGAGAGATATCGTAGTCAGAGATTAACAGATCACGTTCTTCGACCGTTGCCACAGTAGCATAGATTGTAGCTCCAATCATCTGGGCATACTGAATTGCCGCTTGACTGATATCCGTTCCACTGGTATGGATAAGGATAGTATTTTCCGGTGATAGATCAGCTATCTCTCCGAGTCCTTGGATTGCTGTCGCATATGCCCAAGCCAAACTGGCTGCAACTTCAAACGAGATCTCATCGGGGATTCTAACAAGCTGTCGTTGATCAGCTCGATCATGCGTTCGGATACGCCCACCCCTTTTGTCGCCCGATATGTAGATGACTCTGTCACCCGGGGCCGGGCCATCGACACCCGACCCGACATTGCTCACAACACCAGCAATCTCATTCGCGAGGCGGTTGGTGGAAACATCTGAAGAGAGGCCAATTGCTTGGATCTCAATCTCAACTTCGGTGTCCTGATGTACTTCTTCATTCTGCGTGTCTATGACCCACTGGTATTCCCCGGTGCTGGTAGCAGCCTCCTGTAACACAATGGGAGTATCATAGTCCCCGAGACGTTGAAGCTCGGGGACTTGCTGAGAGGACTGCGCAGCAAGGAATTGATCCGCAGCCTCCCACTCGTTCAAACGGCCAATGTGTATGACACCATTCTGCAACATGTACTCAGCGTGACGATCGTTCTCCGGCTTGTCCACAAATTGTCGCTTGACAATCTTTCCAACAGCTGTAGCAATACTCTCTGGTGAAGCGGTATCTGGCTCCGCCTCTGTCAGGATGACGATATTTGAGCCATCAGCGTCTCGCTCCCACCTCACTGTTCGAAGGAGACCAAGACTCATACTTGCATGCGGCTGTATGAGGGGATTGCAGGTAACCCAAAATAGGTTCTGGCATTCGCTGAGCATCTTCTTGAGTTTGCTGTATTCCACTTCGCTCATATCGAACAGATAAGGAGACTCCAGGTCGAGTAATAAGATGCAAAGTGCGTTCGGCAGGATGGCATTTTCGACTTCTGCAGGCTCCCGAACGAGAATACTGTTGTACCCCAGTTCCGGCAAAAATGCTTGAAGGTTCTCAATGACCTGTCTGGCTTTCAATGTGCCGAGTGTCACGATAACCGCAGTATTCGATGACTGCTCCTTGAATGTTTCCACGGCGGAAGAAACCAGAATACTCTGCCATGTTAAATCTGGATTATTTGAACTGGGATACTCGATATCAATCCCCGAAAATCCAGCTTTCAGCAGCAGTGGATTCCATTCCTCGGCCGGGATGTAGGGACACCACTGACGACACGGCTCATCGCCCAGCCACCACCCAGGAAGCTGGCCGAAAACAAGTGGATACCAGAGGAAATCCTGTCGGATGCCTTCCTGCATGATGAGCTGACCACCTGGCTTCAATAAAGATCGCAGATTTTGCAATGCATTATGTAGGTTCGCAGTGGCGTGGATGACATTGCCAGCAAATATCAGGTCATATGTCCCCAGCTGAAGACCCTGTTCGATAGGGCTCCGTTCTATGTTGAGAGATTGGAAGGTCATGATGTCGGACCATGATTGGAAACGTTGTTTCGCTTTCTCGAAGAAGCCGGATGAGATGTCAGTGAAAGTGTAGCTGGCAATATTTCCTTTGCTCTTTTCAAGGTCTGGTGAAAGGACGGCTAGGACTTCAGCGGTAAAGCTACCGGTGCCACCGCCGATCTCGAGGATGTTCAGCTCGGAGTACTGGTGGCGGAGGATAGAAAGGTGGGTTTGTAGATGCTGCGGCAGGTTATACAAGTGAAGGCCTTCCTTGTACACCTGTTCCATCACGGCGTCCTGTCCGAACATGAGATCCAGCGGATCAGTCTCCTGACGCACCACTTGGGCAATATGGCGGCCCATTCGGGCTGTGATGGCACCTTCGGCGCTGTGGGCCTCAATTTCCTTTCCAATAGCTTCCTTAAAAGTATCGTCTTGAGAAATCTCCTGGAATTCGCTGTAGGGAAGATGTATTATTTCATTGCGCTCAAGCATCTCTTTCATATGCTGCATCCAGTCGAAGAATCTTTGCATGTGCAAATCGAGTTTCATAACATCAATGTCCTTGAGCTCGTCCAATGCATCCATAACGTAGAGCATTGTTGCAAGCTGAAGGCGTTTCACCCAATACAGAGCCTCGCTGTCGTCGGTAGGATTGAGCGAAGTCAGTGCACAAGCGGATTTCGAGTCGAGGAAATGCACGTCGGGCTTGTATTCAATCGCGCTGCACAGTTTTCGCTCACTGTTTTCAGCAAGACCAGACTCTAGTGGTGTGAGCTCAATGCCGTCCATGCGGACGCGGTGTATATTTGTTCCCTCATCCAGCATGTGAATTTGGCCCTTGAATTTATCAGATCCTGCCATAGACACGGTTGCATGTCCTGTGAACTTGTGGGTTGGGGCTGAATTCAGATATGCTGAAACCCAGACATCGCGTATAAAAGTTGGCAATCTGATCTGATCCAGTGTGGACTTGCCGGTAAAGTCGAGAACAGCCGCGATCATCAGGTGGATCATGCTATCCATTGTGGCAGGGTGAATGAGATGGGAATGGAGATACTGTTTTGGCATAGACTGTGCAATGTCAGGGACTGTCACTGATCCAACAACCTTACCAAGCCCACGTCCACTTGCGCGAACGTCTGCAAGGTTTCGAAACAAGGGACCGAAGTTGAGGCCGGATGTTTGGAGGTTATTGTATGTGGATTTAAAGGCCATGGATTTGGTGCATGTCTCATTTGCGAGGAAAATTTCGGATTCCCTGGCTCGGCTTTCTTCTTGTGCTTCTCGGTCATTATCCACTGGGTCAGAAGTCGGTTCGTGGTCGACAGTGATGTGACCAGTGCAGTGCTCTGTCCACTCATCGCTAGATGCATTGTAGGAAGTTATCTGGAACCGCCGCCACGTGCGTGATGACGCCGAGGAGTCTTCGACAGTTGCCATTGCCAATGAGACTTCAATTCCTTCTTTGGTATCGGGTACAATCAAGGCTCTTCGAATGTTGACTTTTCGTAACTGGAAACCAGTGATCTTTGCTTCGCCGGTCAACTGCCTCGATGCTTCAATTGCCATAATAAGATAACCCACGCCGGGATAGACGTAGTTTCCAGTGACCTAAGCCATATTAATGAACGAAGGTATCTTATCGACAATTTAGTAATTTTAACTTACCATATGATCCCTTAGCCAGGGATTCTCGTTCAGTCGGACAAAATGTCTCCATCTGGGAGCAGTAGGATTCCAATCCGTAATTGGTGCACCAAAAAGGTCATGACGAGGGAACTTTCGAGTCCGAAGATTCCTGCTCAGCCGACTCTCGAATAGAATCTTCTCGGTATGCTTGAAGCTGTATGGTGGCAGGTCCACCAAAAGTCTGGGCTTCCTTCTTGCTTTAGAGCGAGGAGCTTGGTTCACAGCATGGAAATCCAGTTCAAATCCACTTGAAGCTAGGAAGCCAACTGTAGTGAGTAGAGTATTGAGGCTGTGATCTGTCCGTTTAAGAACGGCCAGGTACTTGAATTCCAACTTGGGGCTATTTGAGGCCAATGTCTCTTTTATGGCACTCTGCAGGGTTGAGTGAGGCCCTATTTCCACAAGATAGCGCAAAGAATCCGTGGAATCGGTCGAGCTATGCCTGTAAATCTGTTGTGAGGTCATTGCAACCAAACCGCTTGTGAAGCGAACAGGAGAAACCATATTATCCACCCAGTATTGAGCTGGAAGATGTTCCTCTTTGACTTGTTGTCCTGTGACAGTGGAAAACATATGCACTTGGTGTGGAGCTGCCAGCCGCCTTCCATGAGGAAGCGTTCCCATCAGATGAAGGTAATCCTGGGCAATCGCATGCATGTGGGCCGAGTGATAAGCATTTTTGACGTTCAACTTTCGAGCAAAGACGCCATCTGCATCGAGAAGGTTCTTGAGGCAGTCAATCATAGCGTCGTCCCCGGACACAGTGTTGTTCTTGGGACTATTGTGGCAGGCGATGATCAGCTCCCCCTCGTTGTTCTTCTTCACGGAGTCCAGATAAGGCTGTAGTTGAGATGCCCCGAGACCTACGGCCATCATTGCTCCATTTGCGGAAAGCTGCTTGGATGATACGTATCCACGGTAGTATGCAACCTTCCAGGCGCCTTCGCGGGACAGCTTGCCAGAACAGTACGCGGCAGCTATCTCGCCGGATGAGTGACCCGTTACATGTTTTGGGAAGATTTTCCAACTGGCCAAGAGATCCACGAGCGCAATCTGCAAGACTGTGCATAATGGATGAGCAATCTCGGGTAGGTTGACTCGGGGTGACTCTCTTTCAGTCAAAAGTTCGTCTGCAATACGTTAGTCAAGCACATCCACACCAAGCAGGCAAATTATTACCAAGTAGCGACCAAGGACTACCAAGCCGACGGATATAATCCGATGCCTCCTCCATAGACTCCTGAAAAACAGGGTAGACCATGAGCTCTCGGCCCATGGCCTGGTATTGAGCTCCCTGGCCAGTGAAAACAAATTCAACCTCTGGCACTCTGGCAGTTCTGGTTGGCTTGGCGAAATTTGATTCCGACAGGTTCCATGCGAGTTCTTTGACCGAGGATGCCATAACAAAGCTCTTCCAGGGAAACTGGGATCGCTTCTTCGACAGGGTGAAGGAGAGATCGTCAAGGAGATGTTCATGGAGAACCGACTGCGTCAATCTCCGGTTCAGGTATTTGGCAAATTCAGCTGCGTTTCGCCTGACTCCATCTTCGTCGAAAGCAGAAAGCAAGAACATCTTTGGTTTCTCGACCAAACTGGCGTATGCCGAGGATGTGAAGGTGGGTGATGCACAAAAGCCATCACTAGTGGGCGTGTCAATAAAGTTAGTCCCGTGCCCGGAGTTATCAGTGTCATCATATGAATCTGTCGCGAGAGGAGTCGATTCTGTTGCCGATCGGGACAGAGCTAAGAGCCGGCTCTTGATTTTCTGAATTGTGGGAACAGTAGATGTGGTGCGGTGGGCACATGATAGATGGCGGTCCTTGAGGTAATGATAAGCATCATCAAGAATGCAGTGGGCATTTGTGCCGCCAATTCCAAATGAGTTGACTGATACTCTTCGCAGTCCTGATGATGGCCATGGAAGAGCCTCAGTAGGGAAGGCAACGTCCAAGTCTGCTGCGGGAATGGAGGGATTTGTCTGCTTCATATCAAAGTTTGCAGGTATGATCCCAGACTCGAGGGTTAGGATAGATTTGATGATGCTTGCCACACCTGAGCCACCTTCCAGATGCCCAATGGAAGACTTGATTGCCCCGACGTAAAGCGGGGTCTCTCGGGGGCATTTGAATGCTCTCGCAAGAGCACCCGCTTCGATGGGGTCACCGGTGCTTGTTCCCGTGCCATGGGCTTCAACGAATCTGGTGAGTTCGAGGTCCAGGCCGGCTCTCCAGTAGACCTCACGGATTAGTCTTTCTTGCGCATCTGCGCTAGGAACCGTAATTCCCGGTGTGCGACCATCCTGGTTGATTCCAGTCTCTCGAATAACCGCACGAACGGTATCTCCGTCTCTGATAGCGGCACTCAAAGGCTTCACTACAACTGTGCCCACACCTTCGCCTCGTGCGTATCCTTCGGCGCGGGAGTCGAAGCTGAAAGACCGCCCTTGAGGTCCCAACAAGCCATGGTGACTCATACCGATGGTTTCCACGGGGTTTTCAAGAATGCTCACACCACTGACGACAGCCTTAACCATTATCAGTATATTAGCATGAGAATATTAATGTGAACACCGATAACGTACCATACTCGTCTCTTTGGCACGTAAACTCTGTACAGCGAGATGCAGGGCCACCAAGCTGCTAGAGCAAGCCGTGTCAATGGTCATACTAGGTCCCTTGAAGTCAAAGAACCAGCTGACACGGTTGGACAGAATGGCATTGGTGACACCTGTGGGTTTGTATTTTAACGTGGTTTCTGGGTCTGAATTGAGGATACCCAGGTAGTCATGGTTGAATCCACTGACAAAGACCGATGTGTTGGAGCCAACAGCACTGGTCAAGGGAATTCCTGCATTTTCCAAGGCGTGGTACACATTTTCCAGTACAAGCCGTTGCTGCGGGTCCAATGTCAAGAGCTCGGTCTTGGTGATGTTGAAGAAGGAGCCATCGAAATAGGCAGGATCTTCTGAGAGATAGTGACCCCCTTGGACATGAAACTAGAGATAGATATCAGTTAACCAATGATCTTTCATGGTGACGTCGGTCTATCATGGCTAGGATATGACTTACCGTTCCACCATGTTCAGGGTCTGGGTGATAGAAGGCATCCGAGTTGAAGCGTTCCTTGGGGATTGATGACCACGTCGAGCGGGCCTGCAGGAGGAGCTCCCACAGAGTCTCAGTGGTTGTTGCTTGTTGCGGAAATCGGGTGGCTAGGCCAACGATAGCGATGGGTTCCAGAGCATCAGAAGGTATGGCTCCATCACCGCTGGGGCCGCTTACGAGCGAGAGTGGACGCATCTTCCGATACCAAAAGTGATGGGATGGTATGCCAATAGAACCGAGTCTATGTCGGATGAAAGGTAGATGAAGTAGGTGTAAAGAGAAGGTTCGAAGAAGTTATGAACAGTGGAAGGGTAAAAGATTGGAATAAAGTGAAGATAGAGCGAGGATATAAGACAATTGAGAATCGAGGTGAGGTGAGAATTCTGATAGCAAACACCACTGCGCACCCCCTCATATATCAACCTCGAGACGGAGCCATGCTACTAAAGCAAATGAGGCTAATAGAGACTGAACTCCCGAAAACCCTAAAAGCAGAAATGTGAGGTTGGCAGTCTGGAGTCCGGTGGGCACGAGTAGTTCTACTGATCTTCGCGAGTTTCCTATTTTGGCTGCGTTTATTTTAAAAAAAGTGGATAGCAGCTTCGTACATTTGATATGTCAAGGACTTCTAGGTTAGTACTTTTTCCTGTATGTACATAGTACATACATTCAACAATATCAAATCTATACAATAATCTAGGAGCATGATTGGCCTAGACATGAAATACCTCAGTATCTTTGAAAGTTATGTACTGTAATAACCTTCCAAGTGGATCTCTGAATCGATCAAATTAAAAAAATAGAAGGAATTTTCGGGACATGGGGTTATCCTATGTTAAGGATATACTCCGTAGATCCAGAAGTAGATGGCTACATAGAAAAAGACTTCAGATGCAACAATTCCCGAGACGCGGGGAGATGCATTGCCGTTTACTTGCTTTGTCGATCTTCATCAAATTCGGCCTTTTCTTTTCTTTTTTTCTTTTGCGCTAACATCTTATATTATATGCTGATTGGTTACCAAAAGACAGGTAAATAGTTTCCCATTCGTCTATTTGCCCTAGAAACTTCTATGGAATATATGGATGGAATAGGTATGTTGTATATTCTTGGAAATTGATATCTTTCTCGGTATTTCTGCAGATCAACCCCAGATTAATAATGGCTATAGCTTATCTGTTGTAGCATTATGAAAGTCCCTTCAAAGCTCCAGGGCTGTAAGGTTATCTTCCTGAGTACTATAAGTGATGGATCCAATTTAGCTTGACTTCAGAGATACACTCTGCTAACACTATTTGAAATCCCAAAAGTCATTAAAAAAGAGTTAAAGCATCTAGTAACTCAAATATAGAATCAAAGAACGGCAATTCCACAACTCCACACCGCAACCTACAATAGCCAATATATCGATTTGAATCCTCTCAGCCCCAAGGCATTACCGATTAAGGAAAGAGACAACAACAGTGGTCAGAGGACATAGTTTCACGATATGAGGGCCCACAAATGTTGCTATCAAAGAAATCCCCGCAATGTTCTTTGATGCCCAATGCAGCCTATACGCAAGACGCTACGTACAACGTGAATCAATAGTGCAACAAATACTTTTCCGAATGGCTTATTCGTGCTTCACATGCACCTCTTCATAATCCCTAATACTATCTCCACCGGAAAGCAATCCGCGCTTGGATTCCCGATCCGCGTGGCCTTGGCCAAAGTCTGTTTATCAAATAGACGCCGTCTCAACGTGGGATGGTTTGGCTGGTCTATTCAGATGTGGTTTCCCAGAATCATTGACAGCGCATACACATACATCAGGCATATGGGGTACATATGGATGTTTGAACTTCAGTTTGGGGCTGCCGGGGAATTTACGGAGTACCAAGATGGCGGTATGGGGGTATCCAATAACAACTATGCGTAGTCTAATCTAGTTTATCTACCATCTTGTAGATCTTTGGAGTAGTTCCCAGGGGTGGCGCAATGTATATCCTTGCCTGTATCGTGACCTAGGATATTAAAGCCGGGGCATCTTATTTTTGGGATATTTACTTCGTATAGTTTATTTTACTTCAATTTTAACTTTGACTTGGTGGCTGAAACCTTCCAGGGTCCAACTGATTGCACTTTGTCCCCCGGGGTGTTTTCTAAGGATGAATATTCAAGGGATCTGGGATTATATTAGTGAACAATGTTTCTATGTTTATCCGAATACCTGACCATATCAACAAAGCAACAATATATGGTATTAAATGAAGCCTTCAAGGTAGAGATCCACCACTTTGGAATGAAACAAAGCCGATTGCAATAAATCGAAACTACAAAATCTAACTGGAGCTTGTACCCGCGAAGTGGATGCTTCTAGACTTGTTTGCATATGGAGCGTCTCTTAGCCGACCAAACGAATATCCGACACATTTAATATCAGACACATCAAACATGAAATTGAAATATCGGTCAAGAAAGTGGGTTACGCGTGTAGTCGGAGGTAAACTAAGCTTATTCGCTAGGACACCCAACCCCTGTCCTAGACCCTGCCCCTCCCCCAAGCCTATTTCAGTTAGACTACATAGTATCGTGATAGATCTATGCGCTATACGCCCCATCTTTCTTTGTTTACATCCTGCGCCACAAACCGATCAGGTGAGATACATCGGGACCAGGAGTTTCGTGCATTGGGTACCATATTGCGTCCCATCTTGATCGTCGATCTGTATATGGCATTAGGGCATGGACAGTATCCTTGTCCCTATCGGCCGAATTGAACGAGTTGCGGGCCCTGGCTTCACGTTGAGTCATATGCCGACAACTATTTCAAATACAATTGCACTCCAATTCTATATCTACAACCTCTAGTTGAGGACTTGTAGGATTCGGGCATCTATTGTATATCATAACATTCCAATACAAGCCAAGGGTCTAAAATGCACGCAAATCAACAGATGCAATCAAATATACAAGGACCATGAAAATGAAGGGAATCAAAAATAAGGCTTGGAAAAGTAATCACAACTCATCCTTATCCTCCGCCGGCGGAGGCGCAACTGGTCGCCCAGAATCCTTCGCCAAATCAACTCCAATCTTCTTGCGCCACTTCTCCCAAAGAGCATGGAAGTCCTTCTCCATCCCGCTCTCCATCTGATCAGGCAGAACAACAGTATACTCAACAAATAGATTTCCCGCCTCATCATTCTCATCATGATGATCATGTAAATGACCCTCGGAGTAATGTGGCATGCCCTCCCCGGGAATAGTCTCAACCGCCAACGGTTGCACAACCTCACCACGTCCACGTCCAAGATGAACAACATGTCCATCGAGATGGGTAAGATTTCGACTCCAACCACCCATCCACGCCTCGCGCAGCGAAAGACTCTCCTTCCAGAAAAGATCCTTCCCCTTCCGGCGGAAGAATGTCCCGTCTGTCCTCTCCTCCTCTGACACCCCAAGCTCGGGTTCTTTCTCATCCAAAATAACAATCAAATCCCCAGCAATCCAATCAGGACTCTCATCGGCCTCATTCTCAAACACAAGTCTAGTCCCCTTGCCCATTCCAGGCTCAATGGTAGCACTAGTCTCAACCTGATTCCTAACAACCCGACTGCCCTCACAAACAGGACAAGGATTCTTAATTTTCTTCCCCTGTCCATGACATTTATCACACTGCATCTGCACCTGTTGGAACATTCCCGGCGCAAGCATATGCTTCTGAATAACCATGCCACGTCCATTGCACCGATCACAAGTCACAACATGTCGATCCTTGGATCCAGTTCCCTCACACGAATCACAAATCTGCTGCTTCTCAACGAGGAAGTTGATCTCGCGCCCATTGTAGAAATCCCGCAGAGGCAGCGCCGCCCGCACTTCCATGTCCGGTCCGCGACGATGTCCAGGTGCATGGCCTGAGTGTCCGCCCCCACCGAAGAATCGCGAGAACAGATCGAATGGGTCGTGACTACCGCCAGCTGCTTGGCCTTTGCGGTGCTGCTCCACTCCGTCGTGGCCATATTGGTCGTATACTTTGCGCAACGCGCTAGTCGAGAGTACATCGTAGGCGTCTGCTATTTCGACGAATTTCTCGCGGGCTGAATCATCGCCGCTAAGAGGTGGGTTAGCAATTGTGTTTTGTAGGTGCATTGTGTATCGTGTGCGAAGCAGTAGAAAAAGCATGCAAAAATAATCAAAAAGGAATAGTAGCGTAGCTGCACTCACGGGTTCTTGTCAGGATGATATTTCTTGCTCAGTGTTCTATACGCGCGCTTAATGTCCTTCTCCGACGCGGACTTCGCGAGACCAAGCACCTTGTAGTAATCCTCGGCGGCGATTACCACGACAGAAAATAGCACCACGGCTATGGCGATTAGGAGTCGTAATAATTGCATGTCGGCAATGGGGAGCTGCGCGAGCAGCTGCTCGTGCGCTCGGAGGGATGTGGAGCTTGTGTGTAGACCGAAGTATGTAGATAGGTGAAGCTTCGACAAGCTAGAGGTTCCGTGGGTTTGTTCTAGTGCTTAATTATTTATGGAATATCCAATTTCGGGGAGCACAGGTGTTATCGTCGAGCTTTAAGAAAGTAAAGAATTAAAGATTTGACATGCTCCGCAGCTTCATAGTGCTGGATCTACATTAGGTGGCCTAAAAGAGGAACAATGTTCGGCCGGGTCACGTGGAAGGGGAAATAAGCAAACAATAGATGTAGAGTACATAGTATGTTGTAGAAGATTGGACCTTGATTTAACATTAATATCAATATTTGCAGAAGAGAATGATTGAGTGCGGGTTTGTTCAGGTTATTATGTTTACATCATCTACGTCGTTATACTCCATAAATATATATCGATTATATGCCGAGAAAAAGGTAGACCTCAGTTGTATATATCTTGATCATGTTCATCAAAAAATTACCTCTACAGCATTATTGAGCTCTATTACGTTTTTTTTTTACTTGATAGATCGTTGGAGGTTAGAAGGGAGCAAGAGGTGAGTATTGGAAATGGAAAGAAAAGCCATCGAATACAGGCTGACATTAATTGGTATGTCGGAATTCATCATAAAATCATGAGCACACTGCTAGCTAAGTAGAGCAACTCCACCAAACTCCTAAACCAGGTAATGTAATCAGGTTCGTCCAGCCACATTAAAGATATCATTATGCCACGTTTGACCAAGGCCATGCGTCTCATCTCCATCCTCAA